ATGATTCATCAAGATGCTTAGAAGTCAGAGGAAATTTATCTACGTACCTTTTCAAGTGATGTTTGATTGTGGCTGCAAGGAGGAACGGGCTAGATCTCACCCCAAATAACACCCTTGTCATCCGAAAAATTTCCAATTTCTTGTTTTCATCATCAGTTCCTGGATCTTCTTCCCAGAAGAATCTGGTGTAGTTTCGTTCACTTTCATCTATTTCAATCTGGAGAAAAGCCATCTTAATATCTGCAACAAATGCTATCGGACCCGTGTATAAGCAATCGTTCAAAGTTAATTGACCTTTTGCATGCGCCGAAGCATCAAACACAATGCGTAATTTGCTTGTAGTCTTATCCGTACGTATTACAGCTTGATGAGGTAGATAAAATGTATTTTGGCGTAAATTTACTTCATCAACTGGGACAGGTTCAATAATATTCTCCGAAAGATAATTCTTTAGAACAGTGCTATATTCACAAAATAAGGACGGGTCATTTGTAAAAGATGATTTCAATCTCAAAAATCGTTTCATTGCTATCTGCTCGTTATTTTCTAATAATGTCTTCATATTTGGTTTCCAGGGCAATTTCACTTTATATCGCTTATTTTGATATGTAATTCCGGATTCAAATTCACTCATTATTTCTTTCTCAGGGGGTTCTATATCAGCTGCTTCTGCCTCGATACCCAAATTCTCTAAATCCCAAAATTTCTTGAGTTGATCGGAAATATTGGATTCGTTTACCATAACACTCATTGCAAACGTTTCATTTAAGTTCGTATTTCGGCCTTGCAAACACCACCCAAATAATGTTTCAACTGCAACGAGGGTTTTGCTTAGGCATGTAATTCGACCAGTGACAATATCATAATAGTAATCTGCACCTATTAGTATTGATATTTCTTTATTGTTAAATTCATAACAGTCCGCTAGTTGTACATTTTTTAAACGTCTAAATTGTTTCTCAATATTTTTATCCGGAGTCGGTAAATGTGTACCCGAAATATGGTCTGTCTCCAGTGCTTCAATTTCTATGCATAAATTTGGATCATCTCCATTCTTTAATTTAAGTTTAACTACATTAAATGATTTTGTTTCCGTTTCCTTAGCACCAAATGTGCAAATGGAAAGGCTTTCCTTTCTAACAACTGTAAAGTTAAATCTTTTGGAAATAGTTGATAAAACAAAGGAGCGGTGTGAACCATTGTCCAGGAAAATTCTAACAATTTCCTGCTCTTTTCCATTATCAATTAAGGTTGAACATGTTTGTAACATAGTAGTATTCTTTTTTTGCCGATGCGATATTCGCTGATACGACATTATCGGTTTCTCCCTTTGGAGAAATAATGTGTGGATTATTTTGATTTCGAAAACAAATTGAAACATGGTGAGGTTTGCTGCAGATGGGACACAAATCCTTTTTCAAACACTCTTTTACTCGATGGTTAGGGGTCAAACAACGAAAACATTGACTTCGCTGCTTCAATATATCTCTCCGTTCATTTGCATTAAATGTAGAACAAGATTCTGATTTATGACCTTTGCTACAAAATAAACAGATTACATCTTCGACTGACGCCAGGAATTCATGCATTTGCGGGGAGGGGAAAGAATTGTCCCTCTTATGCGGATGTCTTGAAGAGTTATGTCTAACGGAAGTAGAATTTTTATTTTTTATTTTCTCTTGCGAGGAACATAAGTGCACTCGTTGGTTCGATGATTTATAATTATTTATTTGGAAAGGATCTCTCGCGGCTTCGAATTTCTTTATTAATGAATTGCAAAAGAGTTTTTAAGTCAAATTCTTTGTCGCCTTGAATGCGATTAAATTCTAAAACGAATTCTGAAGGAATTAATTTTATTAAAATTGGTGTCAATAGATTTGCATATGATTCACCTGTAATTGTAAAGAATCTAAGCTTCTGATCTGCGTTTCCGCGTTATCATATAAATTTCGTAAACTTATAACATCGTTAGGATTATTAACCGGAGTTAAATTCAGCAAAACATTCAAATGAGTGTTAATCAAAATGTTTTTATTTCCGAACCTTTCTTTCAATAAATCAAGTGCTTTATCATAATTTTCATCACTTAAAGCAAATCCACTAACACATGCTACCGCGGTACCACCGAGATAGGACTTCAAATAATTAAATTTATCAACTTTGCTTAATTTGGGATTATTATGAACAGAGCTTTGAAATAAATTGTAAAAATCTAACCAACCAGAATAATTACCATAATACTAATTCAGAAGTCAAACAACAAAAATCATTCATTTGCGGTTTTGCAGCTGAGGATTGGTGATTTCGGTAAAACCATCGAAACTAGTCCTGTGAAATTTTGTAAATATAACGCTGATTTTTGTTGTTTGACTTTCTGAATTAGTATTTATTCGGCATGTTATTGTGTCTTAATTACCATAATATTTACTAATATGTAATTTAGGCAATTTTATATTTATATTTTCAGTTTCATTCATCAACTGAATGTTTTGTGAAACTGTATCAACTTGGATAGAATCAGAATTTAATTTCATTATTTTAGAATGAATTTTCGATTTCCAAAAAAATTATTTTTTCTTTTATTTCTCTTCTGTATCTTCAGATGTTGTTTCATCGCTCAAAAGATTTTCAGTTTCATCATTTAAAGAATTTAAATCAGTTTCTTTTCCGATTAATTGTTCCAAGAATGCTTCTAACTGATCAACTGTTTCGTTTTCGTTGTTGATAGCAACTTCTATTTTGTTAATTAATTTCGTCAACATCGAACGCACGGAACTACGTTTCTCCTTCAACTTTGACAGATTTTCAGCCATATTTAATTTCTGTCCAGGTATAAATCAGTTTCAATAATTCAATAAAGATTCTCTTACCTTGTTCTTGGCGTAGATGCACCAAATGCGCATCGGTGGTTTTGAGGTTCAGTGGTAATCCAAGTTTGTCGAAAGTGTGGTGGTTCAGCAAAACATATCACTGTCTCATATCAATAAATCAAATTCAATAATCACCAATCAATAAAATAAAAATGGATTTAATTAAATATAAAAAATCTCAAAATCTCAGAACTGCGTCACACCTTCCATCGAGCAACTGCATCAAATCTCAGCACACTCTCAATAGCGCTCTCAGCGCCCTCTAGCGTTAGGCGGGTCTTACCAAGTTGTATTTGCAAATTAGATCATTGCCCTCTTTGTGTTTTTCATGGTAAAAAAAACTTATATTAATCATTAGTAATAAATCAGTTACATTATGTCAAGAACAGTAAAAGAGAAGTAAAATACATTAGAAATGTAAATCTTTCATATTGACATTCTAATGCTCAAGTAGTGTACCTTCTAACACTAACAATATACTATGTTTTTGGATATAAATATTTATGATATTAATCTTTCTTTGAGTCAGAAAAACAAAGCTTTTGTAAAGGATAATGGTAATACGTTTCCCTTTGCATCATGTAAAACTGTATGTTTTATCTTTGTATTTTTGAAGGAAAGGTAAAGCAAATAAATCTTTTAAGTTACAATAGTTACAATAACCTACAATTTTTGCTTGCTAGTGAAATTATGACTTCAAACTTTTATAGGTTATTTTTAATATATATTAATTCTTAGAACATAATGTGAACTAATTTGGTGTCAAGGCATGATATGGTTAAAAATTAAAAACATTAATAAATAAGCAAAAACAACACTAATAAATAAAATAGTAAAATAAAAAATATAAATGTTACTATAAATAGTTCTCGTAGAAAAGAAGTGAATTTTTTAGTGTTTAATAAGTGAAATAATATAAATGATTCATTTACAATACAAAGTCCATAATCCGGACGTCCATTATCCGGAGTGATCTATAATCCGGACCTCAAAGCCACAAACTTACGCATGCGTGTAAAGCGTTTACCCTCGGGCTTCCGATAGTGAAGAAAGTGACAGAGAGGTTATTGAAAACGAAAAAATTTCGATTGACAAGTTAGTCGGTATTCCCGACACAGCAATTACAGGACTTGAACAGTGCAACTTTGTAACTGAACAAGAAATTATGTCTGTTTATAGAATTAAAGAGAAAGTATTAGCACCGAAGCAACTTAAACAACTTTACACTCAAACATATTACATTGATAGACATATTTAATAAAGTAAACAAATAAATATTAAGCTTTTTTTTTGTAAATTTTGATACCCTTCAAATCATAATTGCTCTTTATTTCATAAATTACGGTTTTATATTTTTAATTGTATAATTTCTGCATGCCGTCTTACCAGATTTAAATTGATGATCTATAATCCGGAAAAACCCCTAATCCGGAATCGCCGAAGTCCCGACGAGTCCGGATAACAGACTTTGTACTGTATTAAAATTTCAATCTGTAAATCTGGATTAAAACTTCAAACATTTAATTGCTATTACAAATAAGAATACTTTGTTATCCTTTTGTGGATGAAAAGTAAAATACCAAGACTAGAACTTTTGTCATTGTTTATCCAGTGTAATGTAGCTATTTTGATATTTTCATATTACTCATTTTTATGTAATGATAATTTTGGACTTGGCATTTTCCATTCCATTTAAATATTTTGCTAATAGCAAAGTAAATAAAATATTTATTTGCATGTTTTGTATGTTTTGATTTCACATTACAACTCTAATATTTTTATATAGAAAGTGTAAGCCCTCACATGCATTTGGTGTTAAACAAGTATCCTCACATTTTTATGGAAAATTTCTATATATTAAAATATTATTTTTCACTTTAAAAGTTTCTTCTCATAAAAAAATTGCAAATGTAATGTTAAATTATAGTTTGAATATTATATTGCTTTCTACCTAGCTTATTAAAAAGGATTTTCTTTTGAATATGTTGCTATTGTAAGAACTTTTAGTGATAAACATTGTGATTTTATTAGTGATACATTGAGAGGAAAACAATTATACAGTTTTTTTATTAATTTAATTAATTATAATTTTATTCTTTAAATGTATTATATTATAGCTTTTTAAATGCTTAATCAAATAATAAATAATGGGAATTTTTTGTGGTTTTCAACTTGCATAAAAAATTTGAAATTTTTTTTAAAAAAGTGATGTAATTTGTATGAAGTTCTCTTCTAAATGTTTTCTTTCTTTGTTAGCACAAGCCCAATCTATGAAGCAGAATTGTTTTTCTCAAGATGCTGGAATTTCTCGGCCTCGTCTTAAAACAAATGGTCACTTCACCACATATATGCAAACTCGTGACAGGTTATCTCCAGAGCGACCGCCACCTGCTGGAATGCTTATCCCTAAAGGTATTTGACCATTAATTTCTAATAAAATGAACTCTAGAAAGACTGCCATTTTCCAGAAGTCATATTGAAAAATTATCATTATACACAGAAATGAAGATAGCATTCTAATGTGTATGGCTCATATGTCTACTGAATTTTCTGTAGTTACAGTTTCCTTAAATATTAGTTAATTGATTGCAAGATGATTCATTGTGAATGCAAGATGATACTGTGTATAACTGCTTAACAAAAATTTTATATGCATAAGTTTTGCATCAGTAGAAAAGAAATAAGTTGAAAATTAATTTTTGATAATATTTTAATTTGGGATTTACTTAATGGAGTCAGTTATTTTTAATACTTCTGTAATTACTTGTGACTTTCAGATAATTGTTTAGTCACTGCCCTGATCAGCATTTGAAAATTATCCATTGACACTGTAAAAATAAAAATGCTGAAATTCATCAAAACTCTCTGTAAATATGACAACTAAAATTGTCTCTGTAAATATGACAACTAAAATTGACAACTAAAATTTTTCAAGTCTTATAAATATAAATAATGAAGTACTAGATTCATGAGCCCATACGATAATGATATCCAGCAATATTAAGTATTAAGTGAATTGAATGAAATTGACTGAAATAACAAATCCACTTGTTTTTGGTCTTTTAAGGAAAAGAATGATAAAATTCACATTGCCAGATCTTTGAATCCCTGTACCGCAGAATATCTTATCAGTGTATTTAAAACTGACATAAAATATTAATTTTTGATGCAAAATTTTCATTTTTATTGAAAGAACCACATTTTGTCAAATTTCATTGATGTTGTGTTAATTCAAATTAAATTAACAAAGTTAAAATAACTGTAGAGTTAAGCTCAAATTTTAACAATATATTTTAAGAATTTTTTTAAATATTATTTATACAGTGTACGAGGGTAATCGAGAAAGTAAGTTCCATTTCACAACACACACACAAAAAAAAGAAACAATCATTTGGATATAACCTTTATTAAATAAGGAACAGGGGCATAGCTAGAGGGGGACATCTGTCCCCGGGTGTGGAATCCAAGGGGCACCAAACTGATGTTACGACATTTTAGAATTAAATGTTTTCCATCCTTGGCAAGCAGTAGGGAGTGCGAAATCTTCGGTTGTCCCTGGGCGCTGAAAACCGTAGCTACGACTCTGATAAGGAACTACAATCGTCAGACTAATTTTAACATAGTTACCACCATATTTTAGGTAATTATCATTATGGAGCATGAGTGTTTGGTTGCTGTCATCAAAGAATGATGCCACTTGTGATTTAAACCATTGGGTAACAATGGATCTGACCTCGTTGTCATCCTGAACTTCTTGCCAGGAAGAAAGGACTTCAGGTCACTTGGTGCCAGATCCAGACTGTTGGATGGTGGTCATAAACTTCCCATCACAGCTCCGTAAGACATTGTTGCATGTCATACGCAGTTGTGGTTGTGCATTGTCATTAATGAGCAAAATTCCATCCCAAAGCATGCCACAACACTTATTCTGTATTGCACAACACAGTTTTCTAAGTATCTCACAATAATGTGCTGCACTGACTGTTAATCCCCATGCCATGAAATCCACCAGCAAAATGTTGTATTGATGCCAAAACACTATACACATCAATTTGCAACACATGATTAGTTGCTTGGCCTTTGTTTGTGTTGGTGATGATGTGTACCTCCATTCTATTGATTGTAGTTTGGATTCCAGGGTTACATGACACATCCAGGTCTCATGACCAATAATAGTCTGCTTTAAGAAGGCATCACCCTCTTCGTTGTACCTTGTCTAGAGCGCAGCCTTGACATTTCAATTTCTGCTGCCCTGTCAGTTTGTGAGGAACTCACCGAACACACAGTTTTCATAATTTCAGTTTTTCGGACGTAATGCTGTGCAAAAGTGACCTGGACATCTGAAGAAATTCCATATAAAGTGTCTTTGATGGAATATATATTCTCCATAATCTCCACATTAACTGCTGCAATCAAATCATCAGTCAGAGATTGGGCACCTACATCGTTCGTTACTGCAAACATTTTCATTTTCTATGTCCTTCATTGAATTTCTGCACCCACCTTCTGACCTTGGAATTGCTCATTGCATTTGCACCATACACTACGCAAATTTATCTGTTAATTTCACAAGCTTTGGTGTTTCTCACATTGAGAAATCAGATAACCAACCATATTTGACATGCAGTGAAATGCTTGATTGTTTAAAACATTTTAAATTTTCACCAAACAAGCACCACTAAGTCAGCAATCTGGAAATGCCTTTCCTCACTTGCCAATGACTCAGCAGAAAGAACCTGCATGCTTGAGTTAATGAACACAGCTATTCCACAGCAAAAATGGAAAACGGAACTTGCTTTCTGAACTACCTATATATTTTTGCACATTTAGAATTGAAATTAAAGCTAGTTAATTTTTATAAACAAGTATTTATTCATGTATATGTATATAATACAAGTCTTAAATTTAATTATATGACTATAAAGGGCCATCAGTAATCAAATAGCTGCAGTGTACCCAGCCCATTTAGTGGGATTCAACCTCATTTGAATCCCATTAAATAGGTTGAGTGCTTAGTGGCTGTATTTTCTGATGTGTAAAGGAAATATGAATTCATTTTCCTTGTAAAGACCTCCACAAAGTCATTAGATCCTTTAGGCAGATAATCCTCATATGCTATAAACAAAATCTGCTCTTGTAAATCAATTGTATTTTAAATGATGATCCCTTTTACATACTGATGTAACTGCAGATTTATACTTAAGATTCCTAAGACTTTACATTTTTTATTAGAGTCACTAGTTAGTGAATAAGAAGTTTCTTATTCTGATTATAATTGAGAAATTGGTAATTCTTCTTGCTCAGAAAGCAAGTTATGCTTCTTGTTCATAAGTTAAGCATACTTCTTTGCAGTTTCAACAAATGATTGTTTATCTATTTTCAGATACATTGTGTAAAAATATTTGGTAATTATAAAATTATTATATTAAGAAATATCAAAACTGCTAAAATTTTTGGCGACCCCTGCTGCAGGACCTGCAACTCCCAACGGTGTCTTGACCCACAGTTTAAGAAACCCTCCTTTAGGGAAAGGGTACTGTGAGACTTGAACTTAAAACCTCTGTAGGATCTATTTCTAAAACCTGAAATAATACACAGTTTATATAAATAATATACTGCTATTATTTAAAAAAAAGTTGTTTTTATTATTTTTCATGTGTTCTTTTCGCTTTATTAAATGAATAATGTTTAATATTTAAAAAATTCCAGCAGTACCAAACCTTCCTAATAGGACATTATCAAGTTATAGCCCTCGGCTTTCCAGATCTTCCAGAAATCACAGATCTATGAAGTGGCCAAATGGTCTTGGCTCTGAAAGCCAAGCTGCACTTTCTGGTATGTGAAGAAATTCAATTTATTTCTCTATAACATATTAAATTAATTATAGTCTGACAAACATTCAAGATTCACAAACATTCAAAAATGAAAAGCATTTTTTATTTAAAATAAAATAATTTATAAATATAAAATTAATAAAGATAATTAAATACTGATACATGTTACCAGCAATGTATAAACACCGGCATTCTGTAGAGTACTTAGGAGGAATTTTATAGAGTGCCTAGGTACTTGTTTCCAGAGTTTTAGACAAGGTATGAAATATGAGAATTATAATATGCTTTACCTAGGAATTCTATAGAATGACAAATGCTCTCTTAGCAAAGTATGAAAAAAAAAAAAAAAAGGATAAGGCTGTTATTTAAAAAATTTTCATTCCACAAAAATACAAATGTTATTTTGAAAAAATAATGGAAGTCTACCATTAAGAAACTTTTATCCAAAATATGTAAAAAAAAAGTTAGTGAGATGATCTTAATACAATTTGTATTCTCTATCTGGCTCAGACTGGAAATTATTAACATCTGCTGGACAGCAAAAATTAAATTCAGATAAAATCATAGGTTTCACAACAATGCCCTTTTTAATACCATTTTGTTTTTTTCTGGTAGGTCTTACAAAATGGATGTACATTGCAATATCATTATATGTAACATTTCTGTATTTGGTTGAAACTTTTTTCAACATTCTGTCATGTCCTCCATATCCAACAGGCAAATGAGTTTCGTGAAGCTTGTAACTCAGTTTCTATGGCGTAATACTGTATAATACTGATGCCTTCTTTAACAGTATAAATGAGTTTACTTTTGTTTTACACAAGCATCACATCATGGAGATTCAGCAACCAATAGTCTCGTAATTCCTTCTTAATAGTCATTTTGGCGTTTTTTGCATCATTTATTAACTTCTAGTATATACTTATTTAATGTTATTTGGTGTATTAATTATGTATTGATTACAGTCAAAAGTCTTTAATCCGGATTCGTCGGGACTTCAGTGATTCCGGATTATCGATTTTTTGGGATTATAGATCATCAGTTTAAATCTGGTAAGATGGCATGCAGAAATTATAAAATTAAAAATATGAAACCGTAATTTATAAAATAATGAGCAATTATGATCTAAAGGGTATCAAAATTTACAAAAAAAAAAAAAAAAAGCTTAATATTTATTTGTTTACTTTATTAAACATTTCTTTCAACGCGTGCATGCGTAAAGCATACATTATGCATATCCGAAATTAGAAAATTTCAACCAGAAAACTATTTGATTTGTATTCGTGATATTTATAATGACGAGGAATTTGATTTAAATCATATCAAAGACGAAGTACATCGAGATGAAATGCTACATTTAATAAGGAATTATAAGCCGAATAAAGTAAAAACATCTGCTCTGAAGATAACGATAGTGTTGACAGATCAACTTACAGTTCATTGCGCTTCCCCCCCCCCCCCGCAGAGCAGCGTGAAATTGATATAAACAGATTTCAGAACGGTTAGATAAACAAAGGATATTCTTTTATCCATTTTTTGGAGCAATTCCACTTTTTGTTTGATGGACATCAAAACATACTTTCGTTTTCGTAGATGCTTTGGGAGCTCCAACATCGGAAATTCTATTTGACATAATCAAAAGTTCAAGCTTACTTTTATAAAATTGCTCTTACAGTCTGCAAAAAATAATAAGCCGGATCCAATTCGAAGATTAAGGAACAACGCAATCATCAACATTAACTGAAATAGACAATTAGATAATTTTAGCTTATACCGTCCGTTATACATTAAACGCGCTGCGAAATCGTATTCTGCGCTTGTGCGCACGCAAATGCGCAGTCGTAAAGGTCTTACGTACACGCTTAAACGCCTATGCGCATGCTTCAACGCGGCGCATGCGCAGAAAGTTTTTAGCTTTGAGGTCCGATTATAGATCATTCCGGATTATGGGTGTCCGAATTAACGACTTTTGACTGTATTTAATGTTATTTGGCATTTTATAGAATGCCTAGGCAATGTGTGAAATGTTTAATCACTCCATATACTGCCAGCCAGTTTTTGACATTCTATCAAATGCCTAGATATTCTATATAATGCCAGATTTCGTACTTTGATAGTAATATATGCACTGGCTTCCAAAGTTTGTAGAGATTTAAAAAAAGGTGAATCAGAGGCCGATGATAATTAAGTAGAGGTTTTATTAAAAGATGGAATTTCATGCCCACATGGCATGGCACGTTTCTACATATCACACAAGGACAACTACAACTGTTGCCAGATCAACCTAAGCAAAAGTATAAAACAGTTATGGTTAAAATACATGACATTAAAATAAGAATGGGCAGTATGTGTGATTATTCTCAACAAAGTTAAGCGTATAATATAAATAGCAGTTTTGAAAGCATAGTTGAATTTGAGTGGCTGAAAATCAGTGCAAATGGGAATATGAAAATGTTGTATGTTATAGGCAATCAAGATTGACTGTCTAATCATATGCTAACTAGGCAGTCAACAGTTCATGATGCAAAATGTTTATAGCACTTGTAAGATAACTTTCGATATAATATTCATATTTCTATGGTTGAAAGAAGATAAATGTCAGATAGTGAGCTCTGTGATGTGCTGTCAAACACAATCAATGCAGTAGTCAGTCAAAGGTGTTGCTGTTTTCTTTGATATTAATCATTCAGTAATTTCTTGAATATGGAAATAATTACACACAAATCAAACTGTTATTTGGAGACTTGTGCCAGGTCTTCTAAGGAGTTACCATGCTGCACTCCTGTTAAACTCATGGTTGCAGTGAAACTTATTGAGAAAGTATCTGCCAGTACTATGTTTCACATGAAAGATTGTAGGCACAACATCCAAGTGTTTATGCTTCATAAACCATGCAGTCTAAAAGGGCAATTTTAAATTACTGTTGTCAACACCTCATTTTGATTGTCTCAAATTGGTACAACGGAATGTTCATGGATGTGCCCAAATTTCCCCTTTAATCAGATGGTAAGCATGTAAGGGTCTGGAAGGAATGAGGCACCAGAATCAGGCTTAGAATATCATCAAGCATTATCGATTCAGAGTTGCAGGCATCATTAGGGGGCTGGAGTTTCAATGAGATATTGTATTCAGCTGTGTATCTAAAATAAATAAATAAATAAATAAATAAATAAATAAATAAATAAATAAAAAAAGTTCTGTGATACCGGGATGAAGTTCTAAACTCCATCATGAGACACTACACTGCAGCAGTTGGTCCTGATTTCCTTCTAATGGATGGGCCCATCTCCACCTAGCCAATGTTGTTGATGAGAACTTGATGAGTAAGGGTATTTCTCACATGAAATGGCTGCCATATTCCAAAGGGCAGAGACGGTATGCCTTTGAACACAGTGTCTCTGCACCTTTATCATCTCCAATGTCTCAGACTGTTCAGAAGTGCCCTATTACAGGAATGACCATTGCCAGTATTTGTAACAGTTGATCAATCAGTCTCAGACTGTTCAGAAGTGCCCTAATGCAGGAATGACTATTGCCAGTATTTGTAACAGTTGATCTCTTAAATGAAAGTATTGGTAGTTGCTGTAAAGTTTGCATGGAGGTGCAAAGAGGTCACACATCTTATGTAAGTTTTGTTTGTTTTAGCTTTTAAGAGTTTTAAAAGTTGCTTCTTTCCTTAGTAGAACTTTAAGGTAAGGATAATGATATTGGTGGAACAATTTCAGATGTTGCATCAATCTTAAAAAAAGCTAGAACTGTGGGCGGGATCGTCCAAGATGAATACAGACATTTTGCCTGTTTGAAACAAACCCTTGATAAGCAAGGGTCTTCAGCGCCTCCTTGAGACAGTAAACAATATGCTGAAATTACTCAGATTTGAGAAGTGAATTTAACAAATACTTACAAGATTTCAAAAGGATTTCAATTGTTGCTCAGTTTGTCAAATCACCTTTTATAGAGACTGTTGCTGAAGGGTTCTCTTCTCATGTGATGGAGCAATTTGATTTTCAAGAAGAAAATCCTGCAGTGGAGCTGGAATTGATTGATTTTCAAAATGATTTATCTGTAAAATCATATTCTTCAAGCTCTGATAATATTTGGCCTCTTGTTCCTAAAGAAAAATACCCAATTTTGGTCTAGGTGTCAAAGTGAAGGCAATGGTTCAGTTCTACATATCCGTGTGAGGTATCTTTTTCCGGTATCAAATTTATCAAAAATAAGTACAGAAACAGACTCAGTGATGAAGACATGAACAACTGTATTCGAATGACAGGCACTACCTACTCTCTCAACGTTAAAAAACTTGTTGATTACAAAAAAAGGAGTTCTATTCTTCTCATTAAAGTTACCAAGTCTGAAAAAAAAAAAAAAAAAAAAAAAAAAAAATCTGTTATTACATTTGTTATTTATTACTAACTACACTTCAATTTCTGTCTTATGTACAATTAAATTTCAGTTTCTTTTTTGTTATATACAGTTTAATTAAAATTGATTTCTTATTTACTAGAAATGTAAATTTATTGGCAATAAACAAGTGTAAGTTTTTTTTTTTTTGGCGATCACTGGTTTTGGAGATTCTTTTTATACTCAAACAGTATGTAGAAATACAATCAAACCAATTTAATAATTGTCAACAGATTATTGAAAATTATTGTTAAGATAAGGTTATAATTGAATTTATGAATCTACCATTAATGGATTACAAGATTTTCCCCGCATTTTAGGATAACATTTTAGACATAAAAATGTTAAAGAATTTGTTTTGTATTACAATCATTCTGAGAAAAGAACCTGTAACTTTTTTATAGTTTAAGGTTATACAGTCAAAAGTCTTTAATCCGGACTCGTCGGGACTTCGGCGATTCCGAATTATCGATTTTTCCGGATTATAGATCATCAGTTTAAATCTGGTAAGATGGCATGCAGAAATTATAAAATTAAAAATATGAAACCGTAATTTATAAAATAATGAGCAATTATGATCTAAAGGGTATCAAAATTTATAAAAAAAGAAGCTTAATATTTATTTGTTTACTTTATTAAACATTTCTTTCAACGCGCGCATACGTAAAGCATACCTTACGCATAGCCGAAATTAGAAAATTGCAACCAGAAAACTATTTGATTTGTATTCGTGATATTTATAATGACGAGGAATTTGATTTAAATCATATCAAAGACGGAGTACATCGAGATTAAATACTACATTTAGTAAGGAATTATAAGCCGAATAAAATAAAAACATCTGCCCTGAAGATAAGGATAGTGCTGACAGATCAACTTCCAGTTAATTGCGCGCCGCGACGTCCCCCCACCCCCGCGCAGAGCAGCGTGAAATTGATAAACAAATTTCGGAACGGTTAGATAAACAAAGGATATGCATTTTTTATCCATTTTTTGTAGCAATTTGTTTTTTTGTTTGATGGATATAGAAACATACTTTCGTTTTCTAGATCCTTTGGGAGCTCCAACATCGGAAATTCTATTTGACATAATCGAAAGTTCAAGCTTACTTTTATAAAATTGCTCTGACAGTCTGCAAAAAATAATAAGCCGGATCCAATTCGAAGATTAAGGAACAACGTAATCATCAACATTAACTGAAATAGATAATTAGATAATTTTAGCTTATACCGTCCGTTATACATTAAACGCGCACGCGAAAACGTATTCTGCGCTTGCGCAGACGCATATGCGCAGTCGTAAATGTCTTGCACGCACGCGTAAAATGCATATGCACATGCGTCAACACGGCGCATGTGCAGAAAGATTTTAGCTTTGAGGTCCGGATTATAGATCATTCCGGATTATTGGTGTCCGAATAAACGACTTTTGACTGTATATATACATACGTTAGTTTACATATGATAATCAAACTTCTTCATTTCATTCTATAATTTCTTTTGTCAAAATGCCTGATTAAAAGGCCTAACCAAATTTTAGAACAAAAAGAGGTAGCAACAAAAAGGAGTCTAAATTTTTAGTATATACCATAATTTAATTTTTAACATGATATATATTTTGAAATGCAAAGGGTTTTGCTTTCATTTGCCATGCAGAGAGTTATTTTATGCTTTAAACATACATCCAGCATATTGTTTTTGATTGTTTAATGCAGCATATTCTTCTGCTGGTTTTATATATATTTTTTGTGTGTATTAATAAAAGCTGTCATTACATCTGGGATGAACTATAGGTAAGTGGAAAGAAGGAGAAAAAGAACGGCCATTTCATTTAAAAAGTAGTTTCTAATCTTTTAAATACTTCAGTGAAATCTTTTAAAATAATCAACGTAAGGCAAAATGTTTTATTTTGTATCAAATTTGTTGAATGAAAGAGACATGTTGAAGAATGTTTGTTATGTGAATAATGTTTTTTCATTTGCTTGTGAACAACTCAAGTGATTCTCTTCAAGTTGGAAAACTATCTAGGCTCCTAAAAAAGTAGAATTTTTGAAGCTTAAATGTAATTTTCTAGATCTTGACACCTGCATTTTTAAATTGAAAATGTTGTGATACTTGTCATATTATGAATGATAAAGTATTATCTGATATATTTGAAAGTTGAGTTATTATTCATTTAAAAGTTGAGTGTGACAGTTTAAGTGATCATAGTTTTGCCTCATAGGTTATATATCAACTGGTGTATTTTTTTGTATACTTAGTGAATTTAATACTTCATGCTTACCCAAGTTGTCACATTTTCAGACTTTAATATAAACCAATTTTTATTTGTTACAACTTAAAACTGGTTTTAAAATTTCAACTTGAAATTACACTTTGTAGATGATGAACTGCAATCTAATTCTAAGCATTCTCGGGACCATGATCTATATACACGCCTTGGCCTTCTCCTTGGTGACCGTATGCCTCTCTCAGGCTCAAAATCCAGAGCTGGTAATCACAGCAGTCAAGAATCTTATGCGAGTATATCCTCTCTAGCAAGCAGTGAAGCAAATACAACAAATACAAGTCCTTTGTCCACATTAACAGGTAAATACAGCAAAAAGTGTTCAAATTTCAGTACTTAATTTCTTTAATTCAGTTTAAAAGTTATTATTACGCATTCATATATTGATCCTTTTCTTTTACAAAAGGCCTGATTTTAAGCATGAGGAAAATATAATAGTGGAAAATATTAGTTTAATGTTTTATAAAACATCCTATTTGCTACAGTAATATAATATGATAATGCATTAGTGTACATAAAGAATATTTATCTCAGTTATGATTTTCTTAAATCAACATACATTAATTTTACATTTGAACTCTCTTTGTATTGAATTATTATTAAACTATTTTGCTGCATTGGCTTCACATACAAATATATATGAACTATTATGTGTTGGAATAGTTTTATTTTTAACATAAATATAAATGAAGTATTATGTGTTGGAATAGTTTTATTTTTAACATATTAAACAATAAAACTTTTCGTATGTTTAAGCAACTGGAAGACATTCATTGCCAGTATTTTGTATCCAGTCTTATTGTAGTTTATTAAAAAATCTCATTTGTGATATATTCTTTCTTGTTATTTACTATAATATCAGATTCATCAGATCCTGATCCCTTATCATGCATTGGGAGTTTACATGCTCCGAGTCGTGAACAGAGTTCTGACAGTGTTGTGTCTCTAATAAGTTCAAGTACGGGTCACAGTTCATGTAGTAGTCCTATAGGAACTCAGTTCCAGAGGCATGCCCCTGCAAGTACGTAAATCGGCAATAAAATCTATTGAAATAAATATATTTTTTTTGTATAGTGTACATTGAATGTTTTTGGTGCAGTTTGTGTAAACTATTTAGTTCTATATGATGTACTTTTTATTTCCTAATTAAAGGGACAAGTGATAGTTTTGTACAGTTTGCCAAACGTAATCTAACAAGACGCAGGATGCATCATAGAAGTGATGAATCTGCCCTTAATTTATTTCCAGTTGGAAGTAGGTTTATTTCTTATGTGAATTTAATCATTTTGAAATATAAAATTTTATTGCCAGTTAATATTATTTTTTTAAAACCTAGTATTAAAATCAGTTTTTAAATTGGTTTTATGTATTATAAATGTGCATAAATTTACAATGCTGAATACAGCTTTTTGGAGCTAGAAACAAAAATAAAATAAGAAGTAGAATTTTATTAACTGAAAGTTTGGAATATAAAGTATTTTTTATCTGTTGTGTATAAAAGAATTAAATAAAGTACGTAAAGATGTATTCTCTTATCTTTGATTTTTATTCTTACATAAAATTTTAAAATATATAAATAATTTTATCCAATTTTTGTGTGCATTTTTATTGATGCTATTACTATAAATAACTAATTATTTTGCATATTTTTTATTTAAGTTTTAATAATCTGAAAACACATGGAATAGCATTATATGTGTTTTTAGGCAACAGATAAAAATACTTTATATTCCAAAGGACTGTTAATTTTGTTTTGGCATTTTGCATCAAAAACTTTAAATGTCCATTTCACTTTTCAAATTGCCCTGTGTTATCGCCTTGTGTTATATTTAAAGAGATTAAATAATGAAGAATCTGCATAAATGTATGTACTATGTTTCTTGCATTGTAAAACAACAGTACCTAGAGCCATCAAATTTTGAATAACGTAATCCTCCGCCGAATATGGACATCTGGAAGCTCTAATTTGGAATTTGTTTTTTAATCGATTTCATATCGTGTAACTCTTTAAAGAATTTTTGATTAACAAACTCAATGATTTCAAAGTGAACAATGGCAACACTGTACGGGGAAAAGGGGGGACATTTTTATCTTCGGTGCGTGAGACTGTATATCGGAAATTCTAAAGATATGCTCCTTTTAAAATTATTTTGCAATGTTGCTGTTAAATTGAATTTTATGGTGCATGAATAAGAACATGATATTGAATGATATGAAAGGTAACACACAAAACGTTAAAAAAAAAAAAAAAAAAAAAAAAAAAAAAATGCCTTTGTGCATAATGTAAAATCTGAAAGCTTTCAGATTTTTTTAATGTATTTTTCAAATAATGAAATCAATTTTTTAAATCTAGGTAATTTATTTATTTTTCCATTTTTTAGAAAATAGCAATGCAAGTAAGCTTTTAAATAAATCTCTGAAGCCATTGTATTTTGAAGTGCCTCAAGCTGAACCTGAGCCCTTGTTCATTGGCCGTCAGTGGTTGTTTAAAGAAATTGAACAGGTAAAGAAAATAACAATTTATATTGTAACAAAAGAAGAAAGTTTAAAATTACTGTCTGGTGATATTTTACTCTGTGACATAATTAAAAGTTCTTACTGTACTGATACTAAAATTTAGTATGCATAAATTTTTGTTTGGAATGGTTGGATAATGTAAGGAATGGAGGTGTAGTGTTTCAATAATAATGTAAAGAATTTTCATTACATTTTATATGCAAGAAGGATCTTTAATGTATTTTTCGCTATTTTAATTTGGTTTTATTTTTTCCAATTTAAAAGAAGATTCATTTCAGATGTTGTTCACGTCAGGGTTATTAATAAGAAGATTAACTTCAGTTATTATGCTGATAGTAAAATCCGTTTTTCATTAATTACTATTTGAACTACCACCCATTAATAATACTATGAAGAATTTCCATTAGATCGGCATTAAACATTTTATATGCGGAAGAATAGCTATAGGAAGATTTGCTTCAGATACTGTTCTGACAGTAAAATCTGTGTGTATTTTTTCGACCACAGATGTTAAAATTAGTTTGATGAATATTCATTACATTGAGGTTCAACATTTTATTTGTAGAAGGTTAACTACAATCATGTGAATCTTCTCTTCAGATGCTATGCCATTGCCATTCTGTGTATTCATATAACATAGCTGCCAGCTCTCCCGGATTTTTCCAAGTATCTTGGTAGGCTACAGATGCTTCCAATTTTTAGTTTTTTATAAGGAAAACTTTGAAGGAAACCATTTATCCAACAATAAATGAAATTTATTAAGGTAATGAAACTTAAAATTATGCAAGTACCATTCCCACATTCCTAGTGATTTTCAACATATTTTTCTTATTAAATTTTATTTTATCTTAATCTATAGACATCTATGGAATTTCTTATAAAAGTTCAACCAATATTTATTAGTTCATATTTATATCTACTTTTGTTTTACATCAATTAATTCCACAACATAAAGTTTAGTCACATAATAGTAGTAAATGCTCGGCAATCCAGAAAATTAACCAGCTAACCAGAAAACTCAAGTAATTGGTATATTTTCAAATACTAGAGAGAGGGAGATTTTTTTATCAATGTAAAATTAAGCAAATAACAGATTTGTAACTCCATCATATAGCTCGGTTAGGGCTATGATTTGAATCAAACAAAAGCTATCACTAAATCTGTTAGTTTAGTACCAATAATAGATAAGTGTGACATAACTCTTTGGTTTCATGTGAACTTGACTAATTCTAAATAAGTCGCTTTAATTTTTTAGAAAGGTGATATGAGTTAGCTGCTGTTTATCTGTTTTTCAATCACATTTTAAGATAATGATTAAAATTTGGGACTCTGTCTTCAATGGAACAGTATGTAGTAAAATATTTTCATATTTATGGGAACCTGGCATCAAGAAAAGTGGAACTTTGTGAAAATTGGCTGAGCACATTGCTGGCTGAGCAATGTGAAAAATTATGACATGCAGTTTCTACTGTGAATTACAATTTTGAGTTTTTTTATATGTCCATAACTTATATTAACTAAATAAAGAATAATTTGTTCCTTCAAACATCTGCCAGAATGACTGATGCAAATTTGGGGCAAGATCTCTACCATTTTTCGTGGTCAACAAAATTTCATAATCAAATATGATGTTTTATTTTACTGTTTATGTCTGGAATTCCCTTTTTTCTTTCAAAATCTCATATAATTTATATGTAGGCATTTGATTTACCTGTTGGTCACATACAAAATGGTTCGGTGTATAATTTGAGACTTAAAATGTTTTCCTTCTGTTCATTTGGCTTTTCTACAGTGAGTTGCATTTTTCATACACTTAATTATCCGAAATTTTCGAACTTTTTTTTTTTAAGAGAACTTTATTGTGTCATTTTGAGTTGTTTTTTTTATTCTGTTATAACTCTGTTTTATTGCAAAACCATGCAGTTCTTAACAAAATTTTACAAGCTATGAAATATTAAAGAATTCCCTTAGTCTCTTTTTCTCCAGACTATCATGCACATTTCTTAAAATTTTCTTTTCAAAGTATTTCTTTTTGAGTGCTTGCCCTTTTCCTACTGTACATTATCTCTCTCTCTCGGGGGGGGGGACTGAAATGTTACAAATCACATCATTTTAGAAATAGACTTCAAACATTTAATGTTTCATACAAAGTTATATGTAAAAGATAACACTATGGACATTAAAAAGAAAAGTAGAGGTAACAGTGGTTTTGTTAAATGTGTTATTTACACCGATTCTTATGTAATTTTGTGTAGCGATTACAAAAATGAAATGGTTCCCCCCCCTGTGGTTTTTTATAGTATGAAATTACAATTTCTCATATTCACACTTATTACTGTTTGCCATGATGTAGTTGCTCAAATACCATGGGTGGTGGAAAAGTTTTTAAAAATAGATTTTAAATCAGTCAAAAAAAAAGCCTATAAAAGTTACCCTTGAATTTAATGATTAAGAAGTTAAATTTAGTGACCAGAAGAACCAGGACAAGTGTGAGACGACTAGCATTCAAAATAACTGAAAAGGCCACCAAGCCTCAAAGTATAAAGCTATCAAGTATTAACGTTCCATGCATTATGTATAGAGACTCTGGTTTACTTTCACCTCATGATGAAATTCGTAGGTATAACTCAGTAGCTGGTGATGTTTAAACAACATTATTAACAAGAGTTGTTTTTCCTAAGGCGTGTCAAATACCAAAAACTTTTCCAAACTCCTCCTGCTCCTGCTGCTTGTGTAAAATAAAGTGAATCTGTGCATTGACTTTCTATGAGTTGGAAGTATCATTAATTCAGTGGTTTAAAAAAGCAGACATTTCTTTCAAATTGCTCAATTGAGTGCTATTTTAAAATAAAATATAAACTGTATTTAAATAAATAGACTTTGAGTAGAAAATCCTGATTAAAAGTTACTCTGCTAAATACATCTTATTTCAATCAGTCTAATGAGTGACATTCTATTTAGGTTTGATAGTATAGAATTACTTCACATTAACTCTGCTATTTGAAATTGTTTTTAATATGTCTGAATATTTTATGTGTTGGACTTTTCTCTTGTTTTATGCTCTTGTAAATTGGTAATTTTTTCCCAAAACATGTTGAACTGAATAAACAAATTGCAAGTAGTTTTTTAATTAGAGTTTCGTCTGAAAATAAGCGGGTACCATAATAAAAAAATCATCTTACCAATCAAGACAGTGCATTTAGCTCATTTCTCAAATATAGATCAAAACAGGAAGGATTATGATTAAGTGATCTACCTTTCTTTGTTATTAATTTTCTAAATTCTTTCCACTCTCTTGTATCTATATAGCATTTATAACCTTTGTTTGCATAATGGATTACTTTTATTATTTTGGTTTCATAAGCTTCATATAATGAAACTGATTTCTAGCTCTTGGGGGGGAATATCATGAACCTGTTAAAAGCAGCCATGCCACCCAAAATGTTCATAAAATCTTTTCAATCTATTTTATTTTTAATAATAAATCTATTAAAACTGCATGTGTAATATTAAATACTTTATATTAAAAATCTGAAATGCTGTTTTATTTTAATCTTTAGGAAATAACGGACTCTAAGAGTAAAAAAGCTATTGTGATAATAGGTGGTCCTGGTTCTGGAAAAACTGCTGTTGTATCCCAGCTACTAGAATATAGTTCTTTCAGGATGAAGAAAGATGATGCAATATATCATGGTATATCACAATTTATAATATTTTAGTTGCATTTGATGTATTTTTCCTTTGAAATGCCTGTAAATAATTGCATTAAAATTGTAATTTAAACTATTTTTTATTATATTATCTAATTTAATGTATTAAATACAGAATAAGCTAATCCATTAAATTATTGTTTGGCTTGAAATGACTTTTGTTTCTGTTTCTTCTGTATTTATTTGTTTGTTTATCTATTTTTTATTGTTCTGATCTGATAAAATCATTCAGAAGTATTTTATTTCTTCTTTTTCCCTTTTTCTTATTTCCCTTTATTTATTTATTTATTTTTTTATTTTAAAGAAAGCTACACTTTCAATTTTCTTAGGAGTAGCTGAAGAATAACTGATTGAAAAAAATTATAAGTATTTGCCAGTTTATAAAATATAGCAGAAATAATGCATTATTTGTTGGTAATTTTTGTTAATAATTAATAATTGATTTCAAAAGATTGCATTCATGATTTTATGCATTCATAATTATATTACATATAGGCATAGATGTGCATATTTAAATACAGTCAGTACACTCAAATGCTTTTTTATGTTTTCACTCTAAACAAATTCCTTTATTAATCATTACTTAATTATTTTTATCAGATATCCAATCTTTAGATGGCAGTGATTATAACATGTCAAATTCTAGCAGCAGTGATTCAGGCCTTTATCAATCCATATCCACATTGCATTACAGTGGTGCACGTTCCCTAGGTAGCCGACTTGTTGCTTATCATTTGTGCCAAGCTAACAATTATCTGACTTGTCTCGTGCCTGATTTTGTACATAGTATTGCCTCCTATTTATGCCGAGCTCCTCATCTCACTGCTTATAGGGATCTTGTTGCTCGCAACCAAAGGTAATATTGCTGTTTATTCATCTCAGAAGCATAGCTTCCATAAAAATGGTGTTTTTTATGCATTGAGAATAAAATTTTACTTTTCAGCATAATGTGGTTATTACTATAAAGATATTTTGATATTTTCAGTATTATTTATTTAGTTTACTAAATCTAAATTCTAGTAAATTGGCTAAAATAAATAATTTTTTACATTTTTTATATAGTGAAATTTTTGAAAATGGGATGGGAAAATTACTAAATACTTTTAAAATAATAATTTTCGAATAAAGTATATGTTAATTTAAAGGCAAATATTGTTAGTGTGCAGTTTTCTTGATTTATAAGCAGCCTTTATACATGCAAAAAGTACTAATTTATACTTTTAGGAATTTTAGAGTATTTATATGGTAATTTAAAGGCAAATAATATTGATGAGCAGCTTTCTTGATTTATAAGCTGCCTTTATATCTGCAGCAATATAATAAGCTAAATTTGCCAATGTATCATCAACATGCTATCATGGCACATTTCGCCTCATCTCTATTGTTTATCTGTTTTTTGCATCTTAAAAGCCTTTATCTAACATAACAACTTATTTTCAGTTAGAAAACTAAAGAAAGAAAACCAAACCTTTTCAAGCATCGAAGTTTGAAAAACGGTCTTTTGATTTTATTTCATATTTTATTAGTACTATTCTCATTCATGCTTTTGAATGTACATTGATGCACATGCAGTTGTTTTAAAACCTGCTAAACACCTTTATAAAAAAATTTCTGCTTCTTCTCTTCCTTTAGTGCAAATTTAGCTGTTGCATTCCCCCCCCCTAAAAAAACATTTCCACTTTGTTGGATGTACAATTATTAAATCATTCTACTTTCTTCAAATTTATTAATTACAGTTAAAAAATTGTTAAGCATGCATTTGTATGATAATACTAAAAACGATCTAAACATACAATAATTTTGCATTATATGAGAAATTTGTAGATTTAAAGCTAGATCCATGTGACTTTCATTTCAGCAACCATTTAGCTGAAACAACATTTAGCTGTATAAGTGAGTGTATTTTTCTGTCTGTTATGTATGTATGTAATGAAAAATTTTATTGTTAAATATTTAATGTATTAAAGTGATGCAGAGTAATATTTTTAAATGGTAATGTAAAAGCGACATGGAGATGTAAATGCACAATGATGCTCATGCTGCTGGGATGAAAATTTCTTTTTATAACAGGCAGTTATGAATATTTTCAGGTTCTCTTTTATTTTTTGCATAATTTGTTGAATAAAACACAGTAAAGCAATACAGAGGTGCAAAGGTAGGTGACCTGTGATAAATTATGTTTCACATAAATATAAATAGTGACAGAAAAAAAGGAACCTTTGCGGATAACATAGTAGTAGGACAGAGAAGCTAAGAAGAAATGCATATACAGTACAAAGTCTGAAATCCTGTCATCCGTTATCCAGAATGATCTACAATCCGGACTCAAAACCACCAACAACATTTTTCTGGTAAGCTTTACACATGCACATTTGATTCCTCCCCTCCATGCATTATAAAACATCTGGAGAGTCCCGATTCTTAATTTCACTTTGACACTAAATAAATTATCAGTAATTTGGTTCTGTTGCAGCGTATCTGCTTGGTACACATCTTAAACTGAAGCATTCCCACATAAATGCATCGGAATCACATGACAACTTGAGTAATGACTCATGTAGTGATTGATGCCTAAACAATTTTTTATGTTAGTAATTGAATAAAAAAGGAGTATGGTAACCTTTTATGTTGACATTACTCTTGGCGATGATTACAGATTTAAGTTAAATGTGCTAAAACATGTTGACAAGGAAAAATTTAACAAAAATTCCTTTCCATAAACTAAAAATAAATTTTGTTGATGATACTCATAGACTCCATAGATTACGTTTAGGGCGTTTTGGATTAAGAATAACTGATTTGTTATTCACATAAAGCTAGAACCAGCAGTCGCAGAATTTAGGACCCACAGAGACCGCATCAGGCGTTGAGATATCTAGCACCAGCCGTCAATAAGGCTTAAATATATGGTGGGAATTAATTTATTCAGAAATCTGATAAGCCTTAAGCATGTGCAAGAAATAGACATAAGTATAATAAATAACTAAACTAATACAATTCAAGCTTAATTGCCTCAGTGCGAGATAGAAGCAAGATAAAATTTAACGGAACATCTTGTCGTTAGTCGCCAAGCTCATGATGCATAGCCAAATATGTATAGTGAACGATAGCTAAATTTGTTGATGATAGCCGCAGATTTTGAAGGTTTTTAGATATTGCAAAACAACGTTGAAATTTTTCATTTAACAGATTTTGTAAAGAAATGTGGAGAAGTGTTAATGAATGAAGGTGATATATTTAAAGAAGTTTTTTTCATGGTGATGACAATGCTTCCAACCATCAATCAATCGAATGGATGGCAAAATCTGTAGTATGGTTCCAGATCCAGAAAATGCCGCTACCGATGGTGAAGAAAGTGAGACAGAGTGGTTACTGAAAACGAAAAAATTTTAATTGACAAGTTAGTCGTATTCTCGACATAGCAATTACAGGACTTGAACAAAATGGAACTTTGTAACTAAACAAGAGAATTATGTCCGTCCTATAGAATTAAAGAGAAAGTATTAGGCACAAAAAGGAAGCAACTTAGACAACTTGTATTGAAAGGAATGTTTAATAAGGTAAAATAAATATTAAGCTTTTTTTTGTAAATTTTTATAACCTTTAAATCATAAATACTTCATTATTCCATAAATCACGATTTCATACTTTTAATTTTATAATTTCTACATGCCTTCTTAATAGATTTAAACTGATGATCTAATATCCAGAAAAATCCCAAATCCGGAATTGCCAAAGTCCCGACAACTCTGGATTTTGGACTTTGTACTGTATTATAATATAGATGTAAATGAAGTTAAAGTTCTACTTTATTTCTGTTGGTTATTTAAGGTCTTGGTTTGCAGAATTTATTATTAGCTAAATAACTTTTTGCATTATTCAAATGCCTGAGCATTATATAATAATTATATGACAGATATCAAATTTGAAATGACACTGTTGAAAAAGATTTATTATAAGGATGTTACTAATCTTAGGATGAAAATTAGAAATAACCAAATTAAAAGAGACCTTTAGGGGCTATTATAAATTAAAATTAGAATTTTATTTTACATTTATCTCTCTCTCTCTCTCTCTCTGTATATGTATATTTATGGTATCTTGATTCTTTTAGATCAACAACAGGATCATATATGTGCAGCAAATTTATTGCACTAGGAATAACAAAAATTTTAAAAATAATTATAATTTCATGTATTATCAACTGAAAAATAAGTTGAAAAATTAAAATAAACTGAATATAGAATCGTATCTAGATATGGAAAAAATTATACTTAATTACCTTCCAAGTAATATCCATCACAACATAAACAGTTAGTCCAATACGCTTGCCTTTTGTGGAAGCTTTGCGAGAATATATCTTCTAGTAATATCCATCACTGATTGGCTGTCATGTTGTTTAAAATAACTTGATTTGCCTGAAAACGTTAACCCTATAGAACCATCTCAATAATAATCAACAGCAGGTTCAAAAGCTGAGAAATCTGGCAAGTATGGTAGGTGGCTGTGGTATGACCAGGATTTGTTTTTAACAATAATTACAAGCTTCTTTGCTTAAAATACAACATGGCACTGAATGATTTAAAGATGCATTAGTTTGTTTGGATTGCTGCACAAACTATTCTGCTCTAGATAATGTCAATTAATATATTTCTTCTGTATAGAGAATGCTAAGTTAATTCAAGTTTCATATACGTGAATATGATTTTTCAGCTAACATTTTAAACACAGGTCATATTTATTACAACAAATCTATTAGGGGTTATCTTTCTTAGATATCTGTTTGGAAGACTTTAATGGGGAAATAGTATTGCTGTTAAATTATTATATGGAAAATTCTATTCATCCAAATTACTCAGTCATTAAGAATCAAAGTCAAATTGAACTACCAGTATTTAGCTGTCTTACCACTTATTTTCTACTGAATACAAATAATACTCTTCATTTTCATTCATAAGATCTTTAAATTGCTGTTTACTCTTATAACCTGTCATTGTTAATATTTTTTTTAACTTTCATTTCCTATGATTATTCTAGTTTAAGTAATTAAGGTTCTTTTATAAAAAGTCATTGCATCAGTGTACATTATTTAATTTAAATTTGCTAATTTGTTATCACTGTTTTCATAGATTGCAAGATCTTCTTAGCCTGCCTTCTTGTATTGCTGATGCAAGTGCTTCTTTCATTCATGGAATTTTAGAACCTCTGAATTCTCTCAGGTGTCAGAATCGGATACCAAATACTACTTGTTTATTGGTAGTCGATGGTTTGAATGAAGCTGAGTATCATCGTCCTGAATATGGAGATACAATTGCTTCATTTTTAGTGCGTAATTTTGATGCAATTCCACCATGGCTAAAGGTAGGTTTATATATATATATATATATATATATATATTTTATTATACTTTTTAACATTAAATTTTAATATGGTATAGAATTTTAGTTATCATTTATGTCAGATTTTTCCATATTTATCAGATGTTCTAGAAAAATTTTCAGCATGAAAAACATGCATATATACACTCTTAGACAGAAAAAACGACACACCAAGAAGGAGTTCTCCAAATCGGACGAAAATCGGTAGAAGTGATGTACATGGAAAAAAAAAAAAAAAAAAAAAAAAAAGATTACAGTTTGAGAAAAATTGGATGATTTATTGAAGTGATAGCTTCACAAAGTGAAAAAGTCAGTAACGTGTTTGTCCACCTCTGGCCCTTATGCAAGCAGTTATTCAGCTTGGCATCAATTGATAGAGGTTGCGGATATCCTCCTGAGGGATAAAGCCAAATTCTGTCCAACTGGCGCTTTAGATCGTCAATATCCTGAGCTGGTTGGAGAGCTCTGCCCATAATACTCCAAACGTGCTCAACAGGAGAGAGATCCGGCAATCTTGCTGGCCAAGGTAATGCTCAGCAAGCAGTAGAAACATGTGTAGTGCAGTGCATTTGCATTATCCTGCTGAAATGTAAGCCCAGGGTGGCGTGACATGAAGGGCAACACAACAGGCCTTAGAACTTCATCGACGTACCACTGTGCTGTAAGGTTCCCAAGGATGACAACCAAAGGGGTGATACTATGAAATGAAATGGCACCCCAGACCATCACTCCTGGTTGTCGGCCTGTCTGCCAGAAGACAGTCAGGTTGGTATCACACCGCTGTCCGGGGCGTCTCCAGACTCGCCTTCGCTGGTCATCGGGGCTCAGTTCAAAGCGGGACTCATCACTGAAGACTATTTTACTCCAGTCAGTGGCATTCCAGTGTGAATGAGCCCGACACCACTGCAAACGGGCTTGACATTGTACAGAGGTCAATGGTAGTCGGCGCAAGGGGCGCCGTGACCTCAGCCCCCTTTCTGTGAGCCATCTATGAATGGTCCTTGCGGTCACTGAAGCACTAGTTGCACGTACAATCGATGATAATGATGCATCTGGGCTGTGAGTGCCGCTCTGACGATTGCTCGGTCTTCACGTTCTGTCGTTTCTCTAGGCCTACCGCTTCCTTCTTGACGCTGTGTGCGGCCATGGTTCACCCATTCCTGCCAACATCGTCTAATAGTGGCATCGCTCCTGCTCAAATGTCGAGCTATTCGCCGATAAGACCAACCGGCTTCTTTGAGCCCAACTACACGACCTCTCTCAAATTCTGACATCTGCGCATATCGTTCGCGCACCTGTATGCGAGGCATAGTTACTGTCTACCAGAGTACACGGAATGAAATTCGTGAAGAATTTATGACCTGGAATCGTAATTTCTCCTCTTAAATATCCTGCCAGTTGCGCAGATCAGATGCGCTGTAGCAACAACCGTTCATTCATTGGCAACCAAAATGTAAAATTTTGCATTTTCCGTCGAAACCTGTATGCATATCAATTTGTGTCCAATTTGCTTTATATCTTCTCGGTGCGTCGTTTTTTTTTTTTTTTTTTTTTTTTTTTTTTTTTTGTCTAAGAGTGTATATGTGTGTGTAAGATAAAAATGTGTAAAGCAAATTTCTAATTTTAATTGGCAATGAACCCTTTAATCATTAACTTAAATTTGGATTTTTGCCTTTTCTGTCCTAAAAACAGTAACTATTTATAACATCAATCTAAACTGCAGAATTTCCAAATTAATGTATATCATAAGGTCTTACATATTGCTTCAATGCAGTGTACATACCTTCTATCCAGTCAATTAAGAACCGAAACTTTTTTACTCTTCTCTCTCCATGGTTTCTTCTGAATGTGTCACTTTTTTTTCTCCCCACTTTGCACCTTTGTAACTTGCAGCTGCTTACTGTGTACTGAATGTAAGCAGAGCACTATAATGCCCATTTTGTAAATGTTGCTTTAGTGGAAAATATCTTTCAACCGCAAATAAAACATAAATAATTGAATTCGACCATGTCTTCAAGACCTCACTATACTGCCAGCTTTGCAAATTGTTGCAAATGTTAATAGCAGAAGGATATTAAGTTATGCCATTGTTTATATATCTGTGTAATAATATATGCAACATTAAAAGCAGACTTAATAGCCATTGTTGTACTCATGGATAGAAACTTCTACACTAAAGCAGGTGTTTAACCTAGTGTCCATTAGCTACCACTCTAATATCCTTTTTTCAAACTAATATTCATTGTTTAAACTGATATGCATTAGATTTTTAACTACAGTAGCCTATTTTGTTGCACAATCCAATAGATATGTTGAATGAAAAATACATTTTATTATTATTTTTGGAATTATAGAAACTCTTAAGTTTCAGTTAATTTACTACTAGAAGTATTCCTTCTTTTATCTAAATTGCAATATTAAGAGGGAATACAAGTAGTTAAGTGAGAAAGGAAATGTTTGAGAAGACAATAATGCCAGAAAATTCCATGGGCTGTAGGTACAGCAAAGTCAAAGAAAGCTTAAGCTGGTATTCAATAAGTCGAGAACCTCGAATATCTTTCCCAACGTCTAATGTCAAGACATACTGTCTGGTATTATCACCTAGCGCTTTGAAATTCAGTCATATCAAGTCATCTCGAATTTGTAACTTGCCTGTAATTCGAACAGAACAGGAATCTTAAATGGTTATGAATAAAGAAAGTAACTAAGAATATGAATAGGAATTAATAAAGATTAATTATACATTCCTCTTATCAAATGTCAACTTGGGTATTTTATAAACCATATATTTTATAAAAAGACACTTGCAGCCAAAAAATATCATTCATATTTTACAATCTAGATGTACTACATTAAGATTATTTCACAAAATAATGAATTTTAAGAAGCAGTTTTTTAGCAACTTAGCAACTTAGTTATAATAAATTTCAAGATTATATAAACTTTTTAAAGTTCTTGTATTACTGAGATCCCAAAACAATATATTTAAATTTTGCCACCATTTTGGAAATTTTTTGCTGCTCTTGAAAAATTTATTAAAATATTTAACCCATTCTTTTCTTAATTAATGCAATAAAATATTCATTCGTGGTAACACAATTCTGTTAATTGCCTAATAACTGTATTTTAGTTATGCATTATTTTCTTTCTCCTTGCTTTCTGCCTTCCAATACAAATCCAATTCAGACTCTTAACCCTCTGTAGCAATTACACTTGAATAAATTTAAATGTGTATTCTTAACTGCAACTTTATGTTTAAGTCTAGTGAGATTCTTCAACTCCAAGTGCTTTAAAATTAGGCCAGTAACATTTACCATATTCTTTCATATGTGTAATTAGTGTATATTTTAAGTCTGCAAACAAAATAAACATGTTTTCCTGTGTCTGCATTGGCTCTTATTTCTGGTCTAATCTGTACTGTAATATAATTTCTGTATTTTTCCAACTTCTGCCTTGAAATATTTTTGTATTCAATAATAATTAATTTGAATAACCTTTGACTTGTGCACCTGGATAATTTTAGGAAATTCTTTAAATAAAAAAGTTCATTTTAAAAATTGTGAGCCATAAGAAGCTATAAAATTGTAAGGACATTTACATATGGTGTCAACATGCAAATGTTTTTGTGCATAAAAAAGCTCAGGCTTTTGGAATTTCAGTTAAGTACTTTAAATGAAGTTAGTTACTGCAATGCCTAGAATTTTAAAGTAACACACTTCTGAATTATTTGAAAATTTCATACTTTTCTGTTATCAGGACCAGATTTAGAAATATATGAATGTGGCTTCGATAACAGAAAAGTACAGAAAATTTTAATATATTATTTCAGTTATTAAGTGCTATAAATGAAGTTATGGCAATGCCTAAAATTTTAAAGTTAGGCAGTAGTTCTGAATTATTAGAAAAATTTAATAAATTGACATCAAAATAAATAATAAATAAATATATAAATTTTAATAGTGAGTGTCTGCCATTTATTTAAATCTGAAGTCTAGTTTATATAATTCAAAATAGAGATGAGCAAAATTGCTCCATTCAGGGATCAGATCGGAACCATTCCTTCACTGAAATGAATTAGTTCTAATGATTTACTGCTTGCTAACAACGACCTTGATGAAGTATGTTTGAAGTCAGAGTGGATCAAGAACAGTATGCCAAAATAGGAGAAAAAGCAGAAAGAATCGAACAAGAGTGGGGTTAGTGGAATCAACATAATCAAACTGTTCACACACTCCCATCCCTGTACTAATTTCTTTCAACTGTAGTTTTGAGATTCCATGAAAACACCTTTCTACATAGAAACAAACAAATGAAATTCTAGAATAAAAAAAATGGTCAAAAAGTTGAAAAATAATGAAAACTAAAGTCACTGTTGTCAAAGATTACATTATTTTATTACTACTATCAGTATTACAAAAATACAATGTAAAAATACTTAACACTAAAAATTTAATAAAATACACTGGTCTACTATTAAAAACTAATCAAGGTTTTGTATATGAACAAAACTTTAGTTTACTTTCCTGATGAGAGGCAGCTTCTCTTCCCAGTACACATCTGGCTTGCTTTTGAAAAGATATGTTTACAGGGCACTGAAGTAACCAGGATGCATAATCGGCTTAGAACAAGTTCGTTCAATGTGAGATATATTAGCTTCCAGGACTTCCACCACAATAAGGGGTAATTCTTTCTAGGTAAATAATCCTCTGGTAAATATTTATTTAATTCCACTGTTGCAGCGGATCCCAAGTTCTGTGCCCCTTGAAGTTTGTTTATAGTTTCATCGAACTCCTCCTATATGGAAGAGTTCTGACTAGATGTTACAGTTGTATTTGACTGCTGCATTTGGGCGTCTGATATTGCACATCTCAAGTTTTCATTATTATTACATTATCATACCATTCTCGGTATTTCAGAGCATCAGCAAAACCATTTTTTAAAGAGAGGATCCAGGAAGGTTGCCCGTGTCACTAGCTCGTTTTTAGAGACAGCCTAAATTGTTCTGAAAACCCTTTCAGTATATCATCAATAAACAGCTATATTTCTTCTAATAACCCCATACCTTTATTTCTGTCCTTGTAAGCTTTCATCCGATGTGCCATTACTAAAATTCCTGTTTTGGAAACAGAAATAGTTGGTTCTGATGATACTTCTTGTTTTACTTAATTGAACTTTTTTAAAACCACTGTTATCTGTTTCATATTTCAATCTTTATCTGACAAATTAAATGATTTTTTGCCTAATATAGCAATGGAAGAAATTAATCATTCTTTGTTTTAAAAAAACCTTTTTAACATATCCTAGGTAGAATTCCACCTAGTCTTATTTCAAGTTGTGTTTATCTTTCTTTAAATTCTCCTGCATTTCAGCAAGTTTGCTTAAAGCAGATTAACTCTTTTTTTTTTTTTTTAAATGCTCACTATATGTTTAACTACATGAAAAGTTTTCTGCACGGGCAGCGTAATAGTGTGTTGCAAAATCAGATTTAATGAATGCACAAAGCATGGCAGGTGTGGAAACTAAAATAGTAGCAGCTGATTTCATATTCAAAGCATTGCTTTTGAAAAGATATGTTTGCCTACGATTTTCAAATGAGTATCAAATTTTCTTGCAACAACGTTGGCCCAACTTGAAATATTTTTTGCGGTGTGTCATAATATTTCAATCTTTATCTGACAAATTAAATGATTTTTTGCATACTATAGCAATGGAAGAAAAATCAATCTTTGAATTGTGAGCATTCTAATAGATATTTTAATTTTGAACTTTTGTCACATAATGTGCACCATAAATGGATAAAATCTAAGGTTATTAATATTTATCCATGCATTCTACAAACAGCTTTTGCACTGGTAGAATCATTTTTAATTTTAAATATCAATTCTTCATAGACTGGGCAGTAACGAATTTGTTGAGGTTTTTCGACTGACAAGTTATAATTTTGGCGAAAGCATGTGAATAAACTTTTTAAATTACATATCTTCAGCTATATAAAATGCATGGTATTCTTTACATACCATTTTTAAAGAGCTGCATGTTAATGATCTACCCTTACTTAATATGTTTGGCTTTCTTACATTAATGAATTTCCTTATAAACTGCTGTAAAGTGGTCGGGGGGTGAAGAAAAGCTAAATCCGGATCCAAATTCAGAGTGAGAGTCAAATCTTGGTCGGAGGTGTTCAGCAGAGTTGGGCATTGAAGCAGAAGCAAAAGCCAGTACTTAAGACTGATGAGAAAGAATTTCCTTAATCTTCTGCTGCGATTTCATCGCCTGTTGATAGCAGCCTAGGGTGTCTTCCTGATCCTGATTGCTCAAATGGCATTGTCAGGTGTTCACGTTTTAAATGCCTTTTTAGATTGGAGGCAGATCCCAAAGAAAAGAAAATTGTCTGGTGACAATACCAGCATTTTCCTTTTTTTTTTTTATCTAATTTGGCAAAGTGATACTAAATATAGCTTGAGGTTCTTCTATAAGGTAGGGCCAACATTTTATTTTGCAACCTGGGAAAAATACTTTAGGAGAAAAAATTTATGTGTGTAGGTATGTATTAATTCTAAAGAAGATTAAGGAGAAATTCACAGCTCTTGACTGCAATAGTTAGTGAAATTTTAATTAATATTTTACATAAGTGTTATAATAATATTGTATAAAAAAGGTAATACATAATATGCAAAGCTATACTGTGACGCAGCATTCGAAGAATCAAAACAAAATCCAGCAGCAGCCAGATCTGCAGCTAGAGAAGGAAAGTCAGAGCAATGAAAAGAGTGAATAATCAAGACTCCAAAGGTACTAGATCTGAGGCTACAGAAGAAGCTCAATTCATTTGCAAAAAGGGGTGGTCAAATCCTGTTTCTTGGCACACTACCAACAAGAGCTGTTTGTTAACTGGTAATGAACTACCGTTCCAGTTTCGCTGGATCACTGATCATTCATTCCATAAAGTGAATTGGTTCTTTGAATCATTTTTGGAATGAATTGTCCAGCTCTGGTTGATAATTATATATTATAGATAATAATTTACAGATATCATTCAGTTTATAAACACTATGCTGTTTTTGTATTTAATCTCTATTAAATAATGGAGAGTCTATATGTGTATTATTATGAATTTTGAATAATCGACTGGCCTAAAGAAAACAAAGCTTTAAAGAGCCAGTAGAATAAGATTATAGGATAAATTTATGTAATATTTTGAGGTAAATGGCTGTTTCACGAAATTCACGAGAAATTGTCAAACGTCGCCAAACTTGATGATCATTCATTGAAATTTCTGTCTGGTCCCTGTATTAGTATAATTGATACTGTAATTGATCCCTCTGTGTAACTGTAGCCAATTCTATCTGGCTTTTATATATAACTTTGAACTTATATACCTTCCAGTAATTTCAAGAAATGGAAGGTATTGAAAATGCCTTGCTAAGACTGGAGAGAGTATCAGTACTCAGTTTTTACTTCAGAATATTGAGATCTCCATATGGGCTTCATCTTTTAGATGTCCTTTGCATTGCAGTTTGTTTAATGATCATAGTAGTTTGAAGTGCAATTACTGATTGTGCTCTGTGATACTGCAAAGAGCTGTACAAATGCTTTTGTAGAAAGTTCCTAACTGCAAAGTGTTTCTTTTGTGGAAATAAGTTTTAAAAAGATATCATTCGTTGTATGCGCATTCAATGCATTGCAAAGCCATACACACACAACTGTATGTTTCTTTCATACATAATAGAAAAATGGCAGCATCTTGAGTCACTAAATTTCGAGCACACTGGCTGACCACCTAACATGCGCACCTCGAAACCTTAGTTTTAAATTTCAATATCTATATGTGTAATGATAGCACAATTTTGGAAGCACTGGTGTAAGAACACTTGAGATGTAGATGCATAGAAATGCTGATAGCGAAGATACTTGATACTTAAAGCGTCCATCCATTTTGAAGAAGAAACAATCCAGCTGGATTAAATTACATATTTATTTAAATTTGCATTTGTGGCCACAATTCACTTGGAACTCTACTCGTGCCTATTAAAGAACATTTACATTTTTGAAATTATGTCCAAGCAGTGCACAGAGAGAAGCTGAAGTGAAAAGTGACGCATCAGTTCAGAGAAAGAAGGGAGGGAGTCAAAAGTTTCAGTTTTAAGTTTTGATTTACAATTTGGTGATTGCTCAAGAGACATCAGCATTGAGTGTTATGTAAGATTGCATGATTAATTTGAATGACGCACTTTAGACACTATTTTTAATATAGACAGAAGAAGTCCCCAAATTAAATAAAAAATAAAAGAGGTTATAGCCAATTAAATTTAGAAATTTGTTTTCATATCTTTTATCTTGCATATATACATATTTTAATTTTATATTTTCTGAGAACTAAATGAAATTTTGATCAACAAACTCAATGAACTTCAAACTCTTTTGAAGGGTGGTGGTTACCTACAGTAACCATCTTTTCTATTGAATGTCTTACTCACTCGTGTGAGTGGTTTTCAAGACTGACTATTTCTAAAGTTCCCTTGTAGCTCACTAGATGGCAATCAAAAAACATAATCCAATAGTTGATGCAGCAATTCGTCTTCAAGAAAATAAGCATCAGTCATCGAAGACAACATTACGATGATGTGCACTCTGCAACACCAAGAAAAAGGCTATAAGAACAGTATTGGAATGCAGCACATGCAGAATTGCACTCTGCTTGAAAAACTCTTTCCATGAGTACCATAGAGACTGATTTGTAAGGATGTGTTCTGTAGGCGGTGGGCACTGGCACTAATTACCAGATGTGGTCATTATTTTCACACGTCTTGGGCAAAATATGTGTAATTGTCGCAAATAATTTCATTGTAACACCTGATATAGTAAATAAAACAAGAGTTTTGCTGAAAAAGTTAATTGCCTTTTCCTGTCCCTGCATGTGGGGCTATTCTGAGAAACAAGACATGCATGTTTGAAATTTAATCAGCAGACTCATTGGTTTAAGAAAAATGTGTTGTTGCCATTGTCCAAAATAAATTACTTTTATTTTCTGCATGCCAATTCATTGCGAATTCGCAAAGTATAAGATATTTAATTTTACTTTAAATCTAATCTCTGTTATTGTTTATTGTTTACCAAACTAAGTGCAATAAACATAGTTGTTCATCTCTACCATTATAAACTAATGGCTGGACCTGTGAAATTACACTATCTATGTTTATTAAAATCATTATATATATTTTTCATTTTTATAATAACTATTTTAGCAAGCTGGCCATGCAAGTACCTAGTCTTTGAAATTTTCTTTGCATGAGAATTGAAATAATAACTTTATTTTCAGCGCTTATTACAAGTTTTCATTTTTTAAATGTTATAGGTAATTGTTACTATTAGAACAACCTTTGGTGATCTTGTGAAAAGACTTCCATCTCATTGTATATTATTGGACAAAGTTTCTACTAGTGAAAATATTCAGAAAGATCTACGTAATTATATTTTACATCGTATAAATACTAGTTCTTCAATACGTGCCAACCTCACTGTAAATAATAATAAAGTAGAAGGATCTTCTAATTTAAGGTAATTTTTCACATTTCCTTTTTTTTTTTTAAAGCTGTGTGGTTATATAAGATATATTCTGAAAATGATCATGCATTTCTACTGTTTTTTTATTTAACAAAATATTTTGCATTTTTTACTTGTTTTTTTTTTTTTTTTTTTTTTAATTTTTATCTTTAGCAGTGATTATAAAATTTCAGATCAATTGTATTTTTTATATTTTCATAGAAATATGTGAATTTTTAATGAGAATTTGTACCTTGATTAATAAGCTTCATATTAATTAATTTTCTTTTATTGTAAAGGATTTCTATAAATGGATCTGTTGAAATGTTAACTGTAAAATTTATCTGCTCTTTTACACATATAATTAACCCCTTAACTGCCGTGGGCGTATATATACACCTTGCTCAGCCGATGCGTTAACTGCCCCAGGCGTATATATACGTCCTTCCAAACTGCTATCATTTGCTTTGCGCTGCTACACCTAAAATTATTCGCAAAGTTAACGCATCGGCTGCGCATCTGGGGGGCAGTTAACGCATCAGCTGAGCAAGGCGTATATATACGCTCACGGCAGTTAAGGGGTTAATGCTTTTATGAAGTAGGAAGTGTTCATATGAGTAAATAATGTAATTTTGAACCCTAGTAACATGAATCAAGTTATGTTATTACAATTATTCAGCATATGAGATTCCACCAAATGCTGCTTATAACATTTTCCTGTTATGCCTATTTTGGGAATCACTGATTTAGTATTTCATATGATTTTGTCTATACTACAGGTCAACCTATGCTCAGAACACTGGATATAGTAGAAAGTGTATGCATCTGCCATGGAATATAGTTCTACCATTTCCAGAACTAATAATGTAAGAATTTCGCTGTGAAATCTGAATACTGTTGAACAAAGAGAACGGAAGGAAACAAATGTGGGAAAGATAGATTACGTTGCATCTAGCATTTTGTTTAAAAATTTGCTAAATCCTGTCAGTCATTCAATGACCAGCAGAAAGACATTCCCCCCTTTTTGGGGGGGGGCATTATTGGTGAAACTGCAAGAATTATATTTTTATTATATTACAACCCAACCTCACCCGTGACTTTCGTGAATTTAGACCAATTCTTCCAGTTGGCCATGCCTCACCCCACTCTTGAAGAGAAAAGCAATTAAACCATTCATTCATTCAATGACCAGGAAGAGAAAAAAGCAATTGTTATGGTATCTGCTTCATCTTTGACATATGTGTATAATTTTCAACCTCAGAAAGTTGAAAAACCTCATAAACCTGAAAAAAGAGTTCCTTAAGATTATCATAATGAATGTTTTGTCAAATTACCGGAGCATTTTTCTACAACAATGGTATTGTTACTTCTTATAATCTTAGCGGGATTGAATACCTTGATAAAAAAAACACCCTTCAGGGCCACAAATTAAAAATACAAGTGCCATTTTCAAGGCCAAAAATAAATTTAAAAAAAAGACAGAACTGTAAACAATTATAAATAACATTATAAATACAAGCTAAGAAAATATAATATTTACTGTATATTAATATAATATTTACTGTTATGATAAATTATTGTTTATCTTAAACGCTGCAGCGGTGTGCAATGAATTGGAAGTTGATCTGTCACCACTATCCTTATCTTCAGGACAGATGTTTTTATTTTATTCGGCTTATAATTCCTTACTAAATGTAGTATCTCATCTCGATGTACTCTGTCTTTGATATGATTTAAATCAAATTCATTAAAAATATCACGAATACACATCAAATAGTTTTTTGGTTCCAATTTCCTAATTTCTCATGATAATGTAGTTTACGCATGCGCACGTTGAAAGAAATGTTTAATAACATAAACAAATAAATATTAAGCTTTTTTTTTTTCGTAAATTTTGATACCCTTTAGAATCATATTGTTCTTTATTTCATAATTAGGTTTCATATTTTTAATTTTAATAATTCGCACACCATCTTACCAGATTTAAACTGATGATCTATAATCCGGAAAAATCGATAATCCGGAATCGCCAAAGTCCCGATGAGTCCGGATTAAAGACTTTTGACTGTGCTATACCTAATTATTGAATTGAAAGTATTAAAAATAGTTGAGGTATTAATTTGTAATCTCAACTTAATTGCATTATGTTAGTTTTATCCCTACTTTTTATTAAAAGGAGGCATTTCAGAGCTTTTATGAGTTTTTTTATTTTTAATTTTTTAAAGCAGTGTACTTTAAAAATATTTTGTATGCATATTTAATGCAAAGCTTTATGTTTTGCTGAGAATTGGACTTTCATCATATAAATTTTCACTCTGCATATTTTTCTGATTTTCAGGTTTGCATCTCATCTTTCGAATCTCAGTCAAGGTTGTATTCTGTACATCCGCCTAACATTAGATTTGATTGAAAAGGGTCATCTAGTTGTCAAAAGCAGTAGTTATCGAGTTCTCCCTGTTTGTTTGAGCGAAGTGTATACTTTAAGTTTTAACTTAAAGTTCACAACTATAAAATCATATGAAAAAGTAAGAATATTTTATAATTTTATTCAAATTAAACAGTTTATTACCTCGATTAATTATTTTCAGCTAGAAATTTTGTTTCATTCTAGTGTATGTCACATAATAATTTTAATTTAATAATGTTAATATTATTTTTGAGCTTTCATAAGAAAATTTAAGTAGTGGTTAATACAACTGCAGTCAGTTTTTACTTATCAATACTTAAAATTTACAAGAAAAATGCTTTTTATATAAATTCCTGAAGGGTTAAATAATTTTATTGATTTGTGGGGGCAGGAAAGTAACCATTCATACAATTATACAATTTTGTTTTTCTTTTCTGTAATAAATTACTTCTCTTTAAGCCCTGAAATTTTTTTTTTTGGGGGGGGAGAAAATTTGTAGACATATAATGAGTTAAAATTATGGTTCTTTTGGGAGTACCATTTGGAAATAATGAATTGATTTTAACAGATTATTATTATTGATTATTTTTTAAAACTTATTTCAGGTTGTTCCTATTCTTCAAATATGTCTAGCTTCGTTGTATCCTCTTACTCTGCAAGAACTTTACCATACTCTGTGTTCAAAATCTGTAGTTGATGGTCCATCATGGGATGAATTCATGAGTCGGATGGATACTTTAATATCTGGTCATTTTATTGTTACAAGACATGATGGAACTGTTATGTTTGCCCATCCTTCTATGCGAGAGTGGTTACTTCGAAGAGATGAAAATGAAAGTTCAAAGTTTCTGTGTGATGCTAGGTTAGTATTAATTTAATCAAAGTATCTTTCTTTTTCTTCCCAGAAACTGTATTTTCTCCATTGTATGAGCAATTATACTTTATGACTGAGATCTGGTATTAACATGGTATGTTTACCAGACTTATTAAAAAAGTAAATGGTCTGGATCAGCCAGATTTTAAAAATGATTTTAAATTTGCTGTTCACCTCCTCTTTTTGTGTATGTACTTACACAGTGAATTATTTAAAAATTAACTGGCGTGGGTACTTAAAGTGAAGTAAAAAATATTGACAATCTGGGCTGCAATTCTGATTACAGCAACTGTGCAAAAACCACTAAAAGATGATGTGAAGAGCTATCCAATTGAGCTCCAGCTGATGAAATAAACCTGTCATCAGCAAATGTTCCTGTACTCTTATTGTATGTGTGTGAGAATATTTAATCTCATTTTTAACCTCATAACTGGAATTTTTTAAATTTTGTTTTGCAATTTTTGTCATTTAGTGAGTCTGAATGTCTTCTGCAGCTCAAAGTGACAATTTTTCAGTTTGGATTTCAGCCTAACAAATTTAAAAAAAAAAAAAAAAAAAAAAAAAAAAAAAAAAAATGTATATATAAAATAAATTTTTATTTAAAACTCAGAAAATAATTAATGAATTTAAAGAAGAACAATAATTTATCATACAGTTTCAAAAGAACAAGAGATTAAGTAGGTTTCTTACAAAATTCATCAACAGTTTTATATTATGAATAATGAATACTTTTTAAATTTATTAAGGGATGCTTTTGTTAAATTTCTAAAGATAATGGCTTATGCTTTTGTCAGTGCAATTAAGACAGCGGAAAGGGAGGGATGCTTTATGGAGGAAGTTTTATGGGAAACTGGCTCATATCCATGTTACACATTGGGGAATACCATGAAAACCACATGCAGCCAGTCCATTTGCTTGGACTGAAATTCCCAAACCAAACTAGCAGTGTTCAGTGGCTTTTACCGCTTGGCTGCTAGTAGGCCTTTGTTAAGGATTTTCTATGTGAAACTGGCCCATATGTTTATTGAACAAGAAGGGGGAAATGGAAGTTTTATTTAGCTATTCTATCTAACAGCAGAAAATAGAAACTTTGAGAACCACCAGTGTATACCAATCTTACTGGTATGCCAAATAGGTGGTATTCAGTTAACTGAAGATATAACCTGACTTTTCTCGATATGGGTACAATTTGTTATGAGAAAGAAATTGAAGCAAAAGGATGTATAAATATCTATATCTTAATTATTAATATTAATTTAGAAAATGAAGAGTAAATAGTAATTTAATGAGAGATTTTAAAGTTAAATAACTGTGGAAAGCAAAATGTGGAAAATGTATTAAATTGAATTAATAAAACTCAAATATTAAAAATTGAAGAAAATAGAAAGCATAATATATATTAAATTAGTTATTGCTGATCTAATAGAAAGATCCTGACTTTTCAAGGGAATTATTCTCTTTCCTAAAATCATCAATAACTGGAATAACATCATGTTTCATCTCTTTCTTATTGTTTAATAAAACTCCTATGCCAGATGTGAAAAAAATATACAGTACAAAATCCATAATCCGGACTCGTAGGTATTTCGGCGATTCCAGAATAGGGGTTTTTCCGGATTATAGATCATCAATTTAAATCTGGTAAGATGGCATGCAGAAATTATACGATTAAAAATATGAAACCGTAATTTATGAAATAAAGAGAAATTATGAGCTAAAGGGTATCAAATTTTACAAAAAAGAAGCTTAATATTTGTTTACTTTACTTTATTAAACATTTCTTTCAGCATGTGCATGCATAAAGCATACATTACGTGCATGCGTAATGTCTGTGCATTCTGTACGCACATGCGTAAAGTTTGTGGCTTTGAGGTCCGGATTATAGATCATTCCGGATTACGGACTTTGTACTGTATATATTAATATAATATTTGAATTTAAATCTGTGAATTTCAAATACATATATACATATATAGATACATCTATATATGTATCTAGTTATCATATATATGTTGTACTTACACATATGCACATGTGTATGTGTTTATTCACATATGCATTTATTTGTGTGCATATATGCATACAGTTACCATACATACATGTTACATATTTTCATTTATATTGCATAAGCACACATACCTCATTTGCATATATATATACACCATACAGATATACATATGAGTATGGTTAGGTTACTTGTGTAGAATTCTAGAGAACAAGTTAATCATGCGAAACACAACTGAAACCTTTTTGTCTCGAGCTAACATTTTACTTTTGAGGTAAAACAAAAAGGTAATTTACAAAACCATATAGTTGTAAGGTGTGCAGGTCATGGAACAAGTGGCAGGGAAAGATTATCAGACAATGATTATCTCCACACCTTGAAGTGGAGGGAAGGAATTTCTCTGGCCAAAATGTTGGCCACCATCTTCTAAGTGTCAGAAAAGATCATATGATGCCAGATATGATGAGTAGGTGTAATGAAGAACCACAACGAGTTTCAATTTTACCCCCCCCCCAAAATTGTATTTTCTGGGTCACATGCTTTAGTGCATGGTAGAAGCAAATCACACATTTCAACTTACTTCATTGTTGATGTTTTTTGCCATGCTCAACTTGCATTAAATTCTTCTATAAAATGCTAATATAACTGTCTATAAATACACCTTCAAAATACTCCATTGCTTGTCTGACTTGGAATATGGATGCCTTCTTTGTATGCAATTCCCATCATTTCAGAAAATATCATCATCATTGTCTTCCTTGTGTCCATAGCTTTTATTCATTTATTTAAATCTTTGGGAGTGTGTAATTCTCCCTTAATATCCATTCTTGCTTCAGTTTGAAGTTGTAGTTTTGAAACAGACTTTTGTTCCTTATTATGATATAAAAGAAAATTAATATAAATAGTACACATTTCTGTTTAAAGACTTCTAGGAAGCATTCCAGTTATACTACAAGCCGTGGAACCAGTGTATACTATAGTCTTTCAAAGTGTATAATCTTTTTACATTTCCAAAAAGGACTGAGACCAGATTCAATGTATGTAATTTTCAAAATTTCATTGGCTTTATCTGGTTTCTCATTAAGTAGTTAATATATGTATATAACATAGGTTATTAGGTAAAATACCATCTTTTAATGTGTTTTTATCTTCATACTTTTACTGAAGTCATATTGTTTTATAGGATTTTTATTACTTGTTTTCTGCTTGAAACATTATATATATTAGTTCAATAATACATCACAATGATATTATCATATTATGTGGTACGAGAAAAAATTATCTGGTTGTATGTTTATACAATAACATTAATTTGTTAGGTTTTGCTGTAACAAATATTGTGTTTTACTGTGTCAAAGTGTGAATATGAATTAGAGAAGAAAATATTTTTATATTTAACTTCTAATTATTGTTAAACTTGGCCATGAGTTATCAGAATTCATCTTAAAAGTAGGTTTTATTATTTTGTTTTTGATATTAAGGTAATTATTAATCAGTAGAAATTTTCTCTGAAAGATGTGTGAATAGAGCAGATTTGTTGAACTTACTCAAATTTTATGAAACAAATTCCATATTTTCATGTATTACTTACATACTTATTATTAAATGTAAATAATAATTAATTTGTCTTTACTATTTTTATTTACCATTGGATTTTAAATTATAATTATAGAGAACAGCAAAATATTTTTAGCTGCATGTTTCCTTTAATATTAATATTTTAAATCTAGATTTCTCATATGTGAAAATGGATTATTTACATCTAAAAAAAGTTGTCACTCAATGCCATATAGCTTTTTTTATATTTAATGGACTTTCTTAACTCTCAGCATTATGGATGGGAAATTTCATATGGAAGTGTGGCTTTCTTTTTCATTACACATGAAGATTTCTGCAAGCTTTGAGATGTACCCTATTTCGGTTTGGATGTATATTGGAAAAAAAGGAATCAGGGTACAAAATAAGAGAGTCATTTTTTAAATCATGATCAAGAAAATAGTATTTGTTCAAGTCATTTTTAGAAATTTATAAATTTCAGTGCTAAACCCATAATGCTCTGAGGATTAATATAAATAACTTTTTAACTTCTAATGCTATCCTTACAAATTCTTAATTAAAAATTTTTTTTCTGTAACGTATGCTGTCATGAATCATTAAAATGATACTTGGATTTTCAGTACTATAATTTACTGTAATGTATTATACAATTTGTTTTATATTTTATCTTACGCATCTTAAAGAGAGATATTCTTCTCAAATGAGTAAATTGTTTCTTAATTGTATCGTTTTTAATTTTTAGAGCAGGCCATGCAGCAATAGCTTTCCGCATGAGTCGAGGCATTCAACAACAGACTCCTGATGACTGCTTAGAACTTGGACATCATGTTTTAAAAGCACACATATACAGAACTACGCCAAAAGATCTTATTACTTCATGCTTGCCCAGAGATTTGCAAGCTTATTGGGTCAACCTAGGTAGTCAATGCATTTTGTCTTCATTAGGATCTCTGAGAAATATTTATAGTCCAAATGTTAAAGTAAGTACATAAAGTTCAGAAAATATTTCATAATTATATGAATTCAATAAACAAAATAAACAAACAAGTAAACCATAAAAGTATCACTATAACCAAAGATTGGGCTTACTTTAATGTATGAAATCAAAGATGATGGTGAAAAGGCTTGACTATGTGAGCTATCAATAATATTGCAGATTTAAATGCAAAACATTTATTTATTTGTATATTGAGAATTGTGTATTATTTGTTTTGCATAATAAGATTATATATTATTTTACTTATGTGTTATAGATTATGAGATTATTTTTGTGAATTGTTATTACTATATGTTTGTGTCTTCTAAATGAAATAAGAAGAGGAACTTTTAAAGAATTCCTCTTATTAAACTTTAAACTCAAACTTATGGATTTGTCATGATTCACTACAGATCCAAACCCAACTTAATAAAAAATATATGAATTTTTTAAATTTTGTATATGGATTTAAAAACAATAAGCATAGTAATTTTTAAAATTAGTTTTAGCTGACAGATGATACTACATGACGGAAATATTTCATGTTATGCACTTTCATCACATTTCCCTGCATCTCTGTTTCAATAAACATTATTAATTAAAAAGGAAAAAACATATGTTCATACACTGAGATTTCGAATTTGTGGTATTAGACATATTTTTTACTAATTGCAATAATGTTGTAAATTTTTACAAAAATTATTATTTGAATATATTATAAATTATGTCAATTAGACATATGTTTAAAATAAGGTATAGTTTTAAAGTATTAAAAATCAACCCTTATTGCTTTTAAATTACTCAGTTTGTTAAGCAATACAATTATAATTTGAAAGACAATTTTATGGTGATATACTAAGTGGCAGTGCTTTGGAAATTAAATATTGAGGCTATAATCTTGTTCGTTTGGTTGAGAATGTTTGGGAAGATACTACTTAAGATATTTCTAACATAAAAAATTATTCCTTTATTCTGTGGGTGATTTATTTTACTTGTTTCTTGCTATTTTGTTAATTTTTTCCCCTGAATGCTATATATTATATACAGGCCTCTTTTCCATCTAAAAAAAAGTAAAATTTTCTTATGATTTAATAAAAATTTTCAAGTAATCTAGAGCTTAAAATATATCTGAAAGATATTTTCAGAATTCTGAATCCAATTTCTGAATTGAAGTCGGTATTTGAATGGCTGTCTTGAAAAGGACTCTTTAAAACTGAAAATATTAATACTAAAATTAGTCAGCAATTTTTAGTATTAATATTACTGTTGATACAGAGAAGTCAAAGTGAATATTGTACTCCAAACTATTTTTGTCATGTAGTATATCATTTGCTAGATAAAACTACTCTTAATAATTGTTGTGTTTCAACACAGAAGACAAACATGCTAAGGTGAGCCATCAAATAAGCAAAGCAGCAACCATATATTTGGCAGGGATAGTCAATGACTCAATTTATTTCAAGAACAAAGGAGTACAGGTTCCTCTTCAACAGGAACAAGCTTCCATTTCGTCCTTCTGTCAATTATAAAATTGCACAAATTTTCCATAAGTTCAGTTTTCAAGTCATTTAATTTTAACCAATATTCTCACCAATCAATAAAATCCATGGTTTGATTCTTAAATATTCCATTTCCAACTTAATTCTTGGGAATTTATAGCATATTGTATGAGTGTGATTTGAGATATATTGGCCAAACTGAAAGAGTATTAAAGTTTCCCATCAGAGAACAAGAATCTTTACTTGAAGAATCTTTTAGACCGAAAAGGCGAAATTGACAAACCTTCAATAGCTAATCATAGTTTGAAATTTAATCATAATTTTGAATTTGGATTTGCAGAAATTGCTCAAAAAGTTTCTTCAAATGATGAATTGGAGTTCCTTGAAACTTTTCACATTCACAAAGATTTATCTTGTTTAGTTCCAGCTCAATCCAGTCCTTTCTAATGCTTTTTAAATTCTATTAACTAAATTTTTCAATTTCGTTACTATTTTTGGCAACAGATGGTTGAAATATGGATGGTTGAAATAAGATGGTGCTACATTCTTGTTTGCTCTACTGCCCTAGGATATAAATACAAACTATTGTGCCTGCTGCTTTCCAGGCTTGCAGATTTCTTTGCTCCTGATGAAGAGGGGCCTGTACCTGTTTGCCCTTGAAATCGATTGAGTTATTGAGTAAACCTGAGCCAAACACAAGATTGTCGCTTTGCTAATTTTAAATTGCTATGTTTATCTTATGATCATATGCGGAAACAGTGTCTCACCTTTCATGAATTTACGTATATGCTAGTTAATAGAATATTCCAGCTTTGGATACAGGTTTTGTACTGCTAAAGTAAATATTGCAAATACTTGTTGTCTTTAACTAACATCAGGCACAAAGCTTGATTGTCAACTTATATAAGTTTAACGAATTTTAAACTATATTTTCTACTCAGGAAAAGTAGGTAAAACTATTTCTAATGATGCTTTTAGGGCATGTACAGAAGGTATTTACATATTTTGGGAACAATTTCGGTGAAGAATTTAAAAAGGCAAATCTTTTGGAATGAAAACTCCTGGCAACAGCTTATTATTTGAAATGAGAAATATCGTCTGCTGCTTTCAAATTTATTCTTAAAATGTCACATGTAAACAAGCTGTGGATTGAAGGTCATGCTTTAGTGCTTTCCAAAGAGAATTATTTCTATTTTATGATTCAAAAATGCAAAAGGCATTGTATTAAAATTTCTAAGTACAAAATAAGCAACATTATTAATTGGAGAGGCAAAAACCATCATTACTTCTATATGAGAAGAAGATTGAATACCTGAAAAAGAACTGTACTGTTTCTAAAGTTAAATTGTTAATAACAAGAGAAAATCTGCCAATGGAGAAATCAATTGCAGAATCTTTAAATATATCTGTAGCAATAATAAATAGCATAATAAACCAGGAAACAACTTAAAAAAAGGAAAAAAAAAAATGTTAACGAGCTTTTCCCAGTGCACGTAACTGAATGCATAACAATTTATAGAGCCATTTTTGAAAAACTATTTAGCAGCAGATAAATTGAAATACAATGTGACTCTGCAGGTTTATATTGTTCATTTTCCTTGTAATTAAACATTAAAAGAATTAAGCTTTTTATGGATGTGATGGCACATATAGACATGCATATACATGTGTGTGTGTACCTAGATGCTTTTATGACAAATTAAATTTTTATTTTCAGGTGAGCCACCTGTTACTTTTAGCTGGAGCTAATCCTCGATATTGCATTGAATCTCTAGATAAAATGCCTATTATTGCAGTAGCTGCGCATCATGGATTCCTAGATATGGTATGTCTTCTAGTAGAATTTGGAGCTGATGTAAATGCTACCTCAAATGGTGGACTTGGTGCATTAGCATTATCATGTCAGAAAGGTTACATAGACATTGTACGAGTACTTCTAATGAAGGGTGCAAAGGTAATATGATACATGAAAATGTTTTTATGTTCATGATTTTTTATACAATATGTAAGTAGTAAGCAATTTTCCCATTCATATTTTTAAATGCATATTTACAAATTATGAAAGAAGGAATGTTATTTTTTTTTCAAAACATTTTTCTGTAGATGCTATTGATATCTCATAAATGCACTAATATTCAGGGAGTAGAGTAAAGCATCTTTCAAAGTAATGTTATCGACATGCACAGTTATTATTTTTTCGAGTAACTGAAACCTGGTTAGTGTAAAATCATGGAATGCTATAAAACCATTTATATTAAACACAAAAATTGGTTATGACTTAACTGATTTTTTATATATTACTATATTTGTTTGATTCTAAGATGCACTTTTTGATATAAATATCACTAAAAATGAGATAGATCTTAGAATTGAGATACATAGGATCACTTCTGCAGATGTCAGAGCTATCCTGAGTAGAGCAACATGAAATTAATAAATCATATTTTTGTTATGGCTTATTTAAAGAAGAAGGTAGGTGTGGAAGAAAGTCAAGACTAATTTCCTGTCATTACCTTCAAAAGCTTAAGAGACTTTCATGTGAGATTGCTGCATGGAATATCTGGTGAGCTACATTGAACTGCTACTGACTTGGGGAAAATCGACAATATCTGATTAGATGATTGGTAAAAATAAGAAAGATGTTAATTTAACATAATGCTGGCAGTAAAACTAAGGGATAGTGGGAAGATTCATTTAGCAACTCTGCTAATTTTGAAGGGTAAGCAAATTGATTTGGAAAGAAGGATTATATCTGAGAATTCAATAAATTCAAAGTCATAAATTAAGCTTGTTATTGGGGGGGGGAGAGTGCAAAGTCAGCAGTATGTGACAGTTTTCAAGGTCACTCTCCCAAGACTGTGCATTCTGTTCCTTCATTTTGATGAAGTGGACTGTAGTGCAGTTTTGCCACTCGGCTATTGGTAATGTTGTAAAATGTGTAAGACAGTGCCAGGTCTTTTACAGTCTTTTGCTAAGAGAAATGTTATAATCTGTTTTGGGGGTTGAGCTATTACTGACTTTGTATATGTCGCAAAAATGTTTTGATCAAGTTATATATGAAAAAATCTATTTTATCTCACATTTAAGTTCATTATGGAGCTGTTCTGTATGTGACAGAAAGTTATATTTTGTAATGTTTGCACAGCTAAAAAGCTGTGTTTTGTGGCATAACTCCACATAAAATAAGCGTATGAAATTATGGGACGCAACAAGATTTTTTATAAATGTGTAACATGTTAGCAGTAGATAAAACATTGCTTCAGGAAATTAGGGGAAGAATGTTTTATTTCATTTTCTCATAATCTATCTTCTCTATCTCCCTCCGTTCTTTAGATGTGTATGTGTGTTACTTAGATTTAGGAGCATGTTTTAAGATAGATGATATCTTGGAATTGAAGAAATATAGTATTTAAACATTTTGAGATCTATGTCTAGCACTTGGACTAATTTTTGGAAAATTTAATTTATGATATGTGCAACTTCCTCATTATATTCAACAACATTTAATTTCTTATTTTTAATTCTGCCGTTATAAATTTTTGCTTTTAATGATATTTTATTAAAGCTTAAATTTTTAGCTGTTGATGATGTATTATTTAATAAAAAAAAATTTACATGCTCGAATTTTTCATTTCTTGTAGATAAATCAATTGGATGATGAAGGTAAATGTCCCTTGGTGCATGCTGCATCTAATGGTCACTTAGATGTAGTCATGCATTTACTGCAGTCTGACTGGCCTACAGAAGAAGGGAATGGGCCTAGTTTCCCTGAGGCTGCTCAGAGTTCCTTAATATCTGCTGCTTATAATGGCTATGCTAATGTAAGCATTTTTTGTATGGATAATAGAATTAAAAAGGAGCTTCAATGCACTGCTAATTACAGTGCAGACAATATATAAATTATTGTTATTAACTTCATTTTTTAATAATATTATATTTTATTACTGAGTTGATACTTTAAATTAACAAAAAATTAATACTGCGTAATTTTAATACCAGTATTTTCATTCTTTAAATTGTGTCAGTTAATCTGGATTATGTATATATATTCATGATTTTATGAAACATTCAAAAAAATTTATATCCAATAAACTACAGAGATAACAATTCTGTGTTCAATGACTTTACTGCTCGACCATTGGTGGGCACTTTGCTTTTTAGGAATATGCAGAAACTTTATTTGTTTTGACTTGGCAGTGTCACTTTTGAACAGATTTCCAAAAGGTACCCTCTATTTTCTGCAATATGTTTAAGCTGTATGTAAAATTTTGAAATGAAAGTCGCATGATCTCATTGCTTGAAATATGCAACTTTTTCTTTATGGAGGATATTATCTTTGTGCTCTGTTTGACTACGATATGTATGCCAACATATGATCAAGTAGAGCTGACCAGTATGCTGATGAGTGAGTATGCAATATTAGTGTGCCAGCAGTATGCTGGCATGCTCATGAATGTGAGAGGAAACGAATTGTCACATAGATGTCTGTTGTAGTAGGAAAAGTTGATATGTTGAGCATTTGCAAAATACGTGTAGAAAAGAACTTAGTAAATTTATATGCATTAAAATTTAATGCTGCTTGTTTACTTAATTTGTTAGAAATTTTTTAAACATTTCATGACATTGTGAATAATACCATATATTAAAAATAGATTGGCCATCATACTTATTAAAATAAATCATTAGTGCAGAATGAAAGTTACTGTGTTACATTGTCATCATAAATTGTTGTTGCCAGAAAGTGTATATTTTAAATACATGAAAATTGCTCTAATATGTTAATTTGTATCAATTGTGTTAATTGAAACTCTAAAGCTATACATATAAGTGAATTGCTTTATACTGAGAGATACTTTGTTTCAAATATGAAATATAAAGTAAGAAATACTGTCCTTTGAATTATGGCATTCCTAAATAAATACAGACTTCCATATAATTAAAACTTTAAAATATATATCCATATATATTTATTATTATTATTTTTAGTATTATACTTTCGTGTGTACTCTTTTGCTCACATCAAGGGCACATCCGGAGAATCTAGGATGGTATTTGGTAACTTCAGAACATACAAAAATTTTATACCTTATTACATTACTTAAAATTTGTAAAATTGTGTTTTGGCTGTTTACTTAATAAAGTAATTTGTGCACATGGGATTTTATCCACGAGAATTTTCATAATTAGAATTATTGAATAAATTAGAACATATCAAATTTAGGAAATAATGCTACAAATTTTAAGCAAATTTTATTATTCTTTTGATGCAACATATTTAATGATTGACACCAGTAGCATTTCTTTTCAAATATGTGAAGTGTTTGAAAACAGGCTACTCCCATTTTTTCCATTTAAGTTAATTCCTCTTCAAAAATTTCTCTAAGGTTTTTCTTTGTTTCATTTAAAACATGTTTTATAACTGTGTAAAGTTTTTGGCAGATTTTGATCGTCTGCATTTTGTGAAATTCTCTTCGCTATCATCAATATCTGGCCAAGTCTTCTAAATAAACTTTCACTGTTCTTTTTTTAGTTTCTTCTTTAGCATTTGAATTACAATGGATGCTTGTTAATTCGAACTCAAATGTTCTCAGAAAAGAGTTCGAATTATCTGATGTTAAGGGCAAATGCAACTTTAAAAGTGTACCTCTGAAGAAGAAACTTCTAGTATGTATAACCCCAGAAAATATATTATACTATGCTATCTAAAACACAGTAAAAAGAAGTAAAGACACACTTTAATCATAAAATGAAGCAGAAAATATGCAGTAGAAAATAAATTTTAATTAAAAATATTAATTACACTTTGGGGAAAAACTGTAAAATGGATGTTTGGTTTCGTTTATTATGCCTACATTTTTCAGCCAGCTTCTCGATTTGAAGTAAATATTTCAATTCATTTTCAGAGGAAGGTTCAGACTGAATAAATGCTTTCAGAGTTTAGAGTCCATTATGGCTTGATCATTAGGGCATTTAATGGTCTCTGCATTCTCTTCTGAATCCAACAAGTCCCCCACCCCCTTTTTTTTTTCATCTTCTCCAATAGTTTTTATTATGTCATTGTCACTAGGTTTTCCACAATCAGTTCACTTTCAAGTCTTCATCTACCGTTACATAATCAAAGGAAGTAATGTTATCACATTAAAATTTTTTTAATTCAAGAAAACCTTTGTCAGTATCATCACATTCTTCGATATTATTATTATATTGTCTTCGGCATGCATGAATTTAGCATAACAAAAGCAGCTACTAATTGTGCTTTCTTTAATAGCATCCCATGCATTGCATAGATAATTTATAACTCTCAGCAGAGTAATGTCATAGTTTTCACCACAATCTAAAGAAAAACAACATTTGTTGTAAGAGTTAACTACAATAATTTGTTTTAAGATTCTGGATGATTCCTTGGTCCACATGTTGTAGCTTTACAGTTGTGTTTGGCGGCAAATATTTAACCTGTATGGATCTCAGTTCTGGAAGGTTATTTTGGCATGGTGTGTTATCCAAAATTAGAGAATTTTTCCATTGAAAACTGCTTATCTATTCCTTTTAACCAGTTACTGAGGATGTCTCTCATCATCCAATACAAATGTCTACTTTCTATGCAAGCATCCTTTTTAAAATGTAATGTCTTGATTGGCAAGAGTATATAAAAAAATGCAGTTTCATCCACATTAAAAATACCTTTCAGCAGGAAAGTAGAGAAAAGCTTTACCTAGCTGCATTGGCAGTTTCCTATCAAATTTAGTGCATATGTCTTCGTTTACATCAGAGCTTTGACCACAAACAGTTTGATAAGAAATATTGTGCTTTGACTTAAATCGAGAAAGCCATGCACCACTGCATTTAAAATCTTCAGTAACCACTGGAGTTGCCACTTCATCAGCCTTTGTCTGCAATAGGGGCTCATTTATCGGAAAATTTTGAGATCTAGCCTTGGGGAACCATAGCAGTAGAGCGTTTTCTAGATCTTCTTGGGATGCATTTCTCATGCGTCTCTTTTATGTAGCAAATCTAAAATTGATTCCTTTTTTTCAAATAAGTTGGCAAGGTATTTTTTTAATTCCATAGTCAGCTGCCAACTTTGTTTTACATTTGCCATTCTCTGCTTTTTTTTAAAATTTCTACCTTTGTCTACAAAGTTAGGATGTTTTACTTTCCATGTATAGACATCCTGAATTTTTACCTGTTCACACCAGGCACTGAGGAAGAAAAATTAGAGCACATTAACTTAGCAGCACTGCAGGCATAACCGACACAGCTCTTCTAGAATCTGTAATAAAGACTCTCTCTCTCTTTTTTTAATTTTCAGAAAATTGATAACAAATAAACAAATGATTTTCCCCCTACCCTGATAAGAAAACACGTTAGTCCAGGAAGCTTTGTCTGTTAAGCACTGATAAGAAGTGAACAACAACCACTAACGTTTAGCAGAAATGCAGTAGTCTAGAAATGATGCCATATGCCTCTTTACTCAGGAAAGAAATACAGATGGTTTGGATACACAAAATAATAAATACAGCATGTATTTTTTCCACTAAATGAGGGAAAAGATATTTTTTTGGTCAAATCTTTAGTTTGAATTAATTAAAGTCATAAAAATTTAGTTCAAATTGATGTAATATTTTTAACATTAATTCCAATACTAGTTTCTGGAGGCCTCTGGATTAATTCGAATTAACCAAATTAAGATTAAAGAACTTCCACTGTATTAACAAATTTAGAATGCTTTTGACTGCATTTGATTCTTAAGCATCTGAATTACTAACAAATTTGGAATGTTTTTTCTTTTATTTCATTGATGCGCATGATTCTGGTATCTGAATTTTAATTGCTGCTTCATTATTGATGTAACTGATTTCAGTCTACTTTTTAGTCACTTAATAAACTTTAGTATGTGAAGTTATTTTTGATTAGTAGTACCCACCAACAATTAAGTGGATAAACAATTAAACTGTAGTTGCTTGACCTCAACTCAAATCACAGCGAAGAGACTGCCTCCATAGAATCCTTAATGCAGGGAAATAAATTTACTGTGGAAGATTGTAGATGAAGGCATTCCTTTCTCAGGCAGACAGTTCTCATGTGCCTTTTTTTAATCAATAGTCCAATCTATTTGATTACATTTTTTTTTCAGTGGGAGGGTTCATGTTTAAAATTTTGAAGACAGAAAAACTTTTTTTTGTTCCATTTATTAATTTTAACAACTATACAATGAAGTAATTAATATATCTGCATTTTAAACATATTGTATGTAAAATTATGGATAATTTGAGAAGATTCTTCTTTAGGAGAAGTAATGCTGGATAGATTTAATTTCTGCTACATTTGATATGCAGTAAAGCTCAGTTTCACAGTGAAAATGTTTATAATGTATACGATATAAATATTGGTATATTTTTATTCTTAATTATTCTTTTAGAGATTCATAATTATTAATAAAAAATTTTAAATTATAAAATGTTGACTGGCACCTGCTTTGCTGACTGCTACTTCACAAGAGGAGAATTGACAGCTTACACTTTCAGATTAAATATGCTCATGGCTAGAAATTAAACATACTTACAATTTCAAATTTAAATATGTGGAATTTCAACTTCTTATCAGTATTTAGAAAGCTTGCATATTGAACTGGTTATGACGTATTACATGAATCTAGATTTCAGTGTACCAGATTAGTTTGCTGTTTACTACAGGAGCACATAAGAGAAGTGTCGATATACTTACAACTTAATTTAAATATGCAGAATTCTTTCGTCTATATTAATGACACATACAGATTGAAATTATTGTAATTTGTATTATATAAAGCTTCAGACTTCTTCAGTTTTTTAAAAGTACTACTTTCCAATTATTTCAATTTTTAAAATATGCTCCTAAAATTGAACATGTACCGTTCTACAGATTAAGTCTGTGTTACAAGTTATAGTTCTTTCTTTGTCATAAAAAATCATTGTATTATTTATAAATAATTTTAAAATAAAAATGCATGACAAATTAAACATTCTTATGTTCACACATTGAGCCAGCTCTAAGGAAATCTAATGTAAAGTATCTGTAGTGCATCAAGTGATTACTTCTTTAATATACGAATTTAGAATAATAAGAAAAAATGCATTTTTTTATATATATATAGTTTTTATGAGAATATGGTAGGTATTATAGTTATAGAAATTTTTTAGGTTTGTGAATATCTGCTGGATATGCCTGAAGTCCGAATCAATGATCTCGATAAACTCACTGGGCATTCAGCATTAACAGCGGCTAGCTGTGCTGGTCAGCTTCAAACCTGTAATATTCTTTTAAGACGTAATGCTTCAGTCAGTATGACAAATCAGCGTAAAGAAACTTCTCTGCTGTGCTCTGCATTTGAAGGACACTGGGAAATAGCAGAGAAGTTATTACTACATGGTGCCTCATTAGAGCAAAGTGATACTTTAGGAAGAACTCCTCTGATGCTAGCAGCAATGGGTGGTCATCCTGTCCTTGAACTCTTTCTGTCAAAAGGTACATGAGTATTTAAAAAGTCATTCATATGAGATAATTTATTTGAAGATGTCATCTTTCCTAGTAAGTCACTAAAATGTTAATTAGTTTGAATTATTCTTATATAGGTGCATCAACTGAATTAAGTGATAAGGAAGGTTTGACCGCTTTGAGTTGGGCATGCCTGAAAGGACATTATCAAGCAGTTCAGTGCTTACTAAATCATGGTTCTGATGCAAATCATGCTGACAAAAGTGGGCGAACGCCTCTAGATTTTGCAGCTTATAATGGTGATCCTGAAATTGTAAGCATTCATATTTTATTTTTATAAAGAAATATTTATGAATTTTCAAGCATAATGCTATTATATATCATCTACATGCATGGGAATGAAATCCCATTGCTAAGAAGAAATCAATTTAGAGTAATGAAATGTAGGTAAAGCATTTGTTTAGGTAACAAATGTATTTGATTAATGTTTCAATGTCTTAGGTTGAAGTATGTGGAAGAAGAGCCACTTCAGTAGTAACCGCTAGTGGTTATGATGTTGAATGCAAGCATGCAAATGCACATGCATTGTGCCATACAGGTGCTGTATGTCATTTTGTGAGATGAAGTCCCATCCCTATTGCATTTGGTCAGACAGTCAGCAACAGTTCATGCTGGATATGTTATCCAATCATGTCCCATATGTGTTCAACTGAAGAAAGATCTGGTGATCTTCCAAGTAAAGACAACATGTTGAACTGTGTAGAGCAGGTTAAGTGATAGCAGCGTAGCAGTTGCACTAGGCGAACAGTATCATATTGAAAAATGCCCTATGGGATATTGCTCAAGAAGGTAGCACAACCAGTGCAGTTTGATGTACAGATTTGCTATCAAGGTGTGCAGAATAATGACGAGAGTGCTTCTGCTGTCATAGGAAATTGCTCTTTAGACTATTAACTTCTGCTGTTCCATTTAGTCTATATTGCAGCCATCATGGTCCAAGCACTCATCTGACCTTCTAACAAACATAGGCCATCAGTGGCACCAAGACAGGTATGGCTGTCATCTGAAAGCGCAACAGATCCCCACTCTAACTTCCAATGCCCTTTAGCTTGATACCACCAAAGTCGTAGATAGTGGTGATTTGGAGTTAATGGTATGGCTACTACAGGGCTCAGAGCTATGTCTCAACTAATTTATTACAGCTAGCTGTGTCACTCTGGTGCCAATAAAAGCTTGAATGTCTGCTGCAGATGCAGTGTGATGTGCTGCACACATGTGGCAAATATGGTTGTCTTCTTTTTGAAAAGCAGTGCATGTATGGCTGAAACTTGGCCTTCTTGAGAGAGTACCTTCCTATAACAATTGCTGCTATAACAATAATCCTATAACAATTGCCAAGATGTATACACAGTGGGTACATCCCTGACAAGTCTTTCTGTAATATCGCAGAAGAAAAAATCCACCTTCTCATAACTGTATTACACAGCCTCGCTCACACTCAGTAAGCTTTTGATATTGCCTTCCTCACCTCCTTAAAGGTATTTTTGACTGAAATCTTGCTCATAACACCCAATCCGGAAGATAAATGAAGCACAAGTTTACATCACATATTTAAAGCAAATGTGATCTGCATGTTCATAGAGGCCATTACTAGTGCTACACTAATTCATCTAGCACAAAATCTGAATTCAGATGTGCAAACACATCTCTCAGATATATCTAGCACGACTCCTTCTTAATGTTGTGATTTCATTTTCCATCTGTGTATCCTTAGCATTAATTACTTGTGAAAAGCTCATTACTTTCCAAGAGATTACTCTGAGAAGACAGATTCTATTGTACATCTCTTAAAGCATAGTGAATGTTTTCATTTGAAGTCAACAACATGGAAATTTTGAGGTTTTAAATGAATTCTTACAGGCAGTTGGAATTTTAAATTTATTAATGGAATGCATTTCTTCAGCCTTTAAAGATGTGTCCAAAATATTGCTTATTCATGTATTATTTTTTTAAAACATTTTGTAATGTGATGTATTTTTAGTTGAGTTGTCTTCTGTTTCAAAATTTTTTGTTGTTGAATAATATACTTAAGCTTTTGTAATTTTAAATTTTAAAATTTGTTTAACATGTGTGAAAACATTATTCTCAGAAATGAAATTTCTCTGTTTGATTTTAGTTTCACATTATCCAGACGGATCTTTAAGTAGTACTTTAAAAAAAAGTTTTTTTTAAAAAAGATTCTTTTTTTTTAAAGTAAAAAAAAAACACACTTGTTGCTTAAATTTTTTTTTTTTTTTTTTAAATATTCAAAAACAGTGGATGAATTTTACTTTGGTTAGTCAATCTGAAATGCTATGTATATGAGATTATAAAATATTGCACTGAGAATGTAACTAAAAGTATATTTGCTTAAGATTTTCTGAGACTAAGGTTCATGTATGAGTAAACATCATGAAATGCATAAATGCTGAGAATATTATTCATAATATATATATATATATTAAAAAAAGTGTGCAGAATGAAATTCTAAGCAGGTTTTACAGATGGATGTTAATACAGATTCTGTAGGGCTTATATTTACTCCTTTTTGTATGGTCTACTGTATGTACTGAATCTAAAGTCACATGATTATTATTACATAGCCAATTACAAAACAATTTAAAGTAATTTTGTAGAATTACAAAACTCTATATTTTAATTTGTTTCTCTATTTTTCAATCTGTACTAATGTTTCCATGCAAAACTAATTTAAGAATGTAATATTTATTCTTGATTAGGATTTTTAACAATCATGCTAGTGTGAAAATAAAATGACAACACTGGGAATAATTCAATCTCTGTGAATCATGCAGTATATTTACTGCATTTTATAAATAATAATAGTGTATTGTTTATCAGTGTAACATAGTAAGCGAGTAAGTTTCTTAATAATACTTTGATAATAGTGGCACTGAGATTGCTAATAAGATAATACTTCATTTGACTAGCAGTAATTTCAGTCTCTTGATAAATATCAATATTATTGATATTTTTATGTTCTTTAAATGCTTTCAAATAAAACTACAAGAAGAAATCCTACTTCAGATAATGACAGTCTCCAGTAGTGGCTAGGAGGAGGAAGATCCTCTCTAATTCAAGATTAAAAAGGATAGCTAAATTGTTGTAGCCAAATTAATTGATGTTGTAGCATTCAGTTAAAAATTAATTATTAATCAATCTAGAAATTTAATATTCGTATGTTCTAAAATATAAATGCATTTTTTATTTCTATTAGCTAATTGACATTTTGATTTTTCTGTTATTCTAAATGTAGCATCAACAGTGCAGTAAGATTGTTTATTGAATTGTCGATCTACTGAAGTTGAGAGTTATATGCGAATAATTTCATTTTTAAATTTAGGTGCAACTATTGTTGGATTCTGGTGCATTAATGGAACATGTTGATCTCACTGGTATGAGACCACTTGACCGAGCAATTGGTTGTAAAAATACTGGTGCAGTGATAAGATTTTTGCATAAAGGTGCAAAATTAGGTATGCATTAATCAAATACTCATGGGCATGTTTCTTATTTAAGTAGTTTTATTATTATTATTAAAATGTGGTTTCATGATGATTCTTCAGCAGTCAAATTTTGGTACTGTGATTTTATTTATATATATATATATATATATATATATATACATATATATATATATATTAATGAACGAATTGGTCAAATAATCCCTAATAATATTAAATCTCCTCTTGAAACAAATTTTAAACAATGGAAAAGCTCAAAAATAAATATTGAAAAAAATTCAAAGGGTTCAGATTTAAGCATTTTCCATAAAGATCTATTTTAAATTTTAATATGTTTTATCAGTAAGGATTACCTATAGAGATGAAGGAATAGTAAAACATTTAATAGGATACTAGATGACCATGCATTTACATTAATGTAGGAATGTTACACACCATCTGTGCATATGAAAAGTGGAAGAACATATTTTGTAATTCTATAAAAATATTTATTGTTTTTAATTAGATATGTTATTAATTAATTGTTATTTTATTTAAATCAATCAGATTCAAAAGCAAAATAATAATACTTAAAAATTGCTTTTAACTGAGTTTGTTAATCAGTCACACACAAATTAAATTTGAAAGATAAATATCTTAAATTTTGTCGGATGGTAAATGTATTGAAATTTAAAAAAGCAACGTAAAATCGTGTTTTAAAAATAGTAACCCATTTGGGCTAATAAATAATGTCTCTTTTACATGATAATGATATTGGATAAAATTGACTTTTTATGAAAATTTCATGAAATGCATATCAGCTAAATAAAATTTTTATCAACTTCTATTGAGATTTTTTTCCATTTTATTTAAGGTTCACAGACATGGGCTATGGCCCAAGGCAATCCTGAAATTCTAATTCTACTTCTCACAAAATTGCTTGAAGATGCTACTATACTGTGCAAGGTATTAAAAATTCTGTTTTTAGTCTTTATTTCTTTAGACATTTTGAGATTAATACAGAGCTGTTGTTTCATTAATTGCTTGCAAGATTCTTTTTCTAATCACAGATTTGCAATCCATGTTGTAAATTTCGCATTCTTCAAAACAGAATTTCTGCTCCTCATAAAATAGGTTCTACATGGCTGGTTAAAATTTTTATTTATTATTAATTGTATTTCAAAGACAGTAAGCTAGGCTGTATAAGATTTATAATAAAGCAGCATATTGATAAAATAATTTTTAGAAAACCTTTATCACTTTTCTCATTCAGATACTGTTGTTTCTCTCTTTTTTTTAATTAATAAATAAATTTATTGTTTAACAATGTTTAAACAAGAGATGAGAATGTGTATAAAAATTATATAATTGTATATATTTTTTCTTGCATTTTGTAGAGAGCAAGAATGAAAGATGCTGCCCATAGGTATCTATATGCTTTAAAGAAATTTCCATCTGAAAGCAATTCATGTTATGATCAAAGATTTTTGCAAATAAAGTTTCAGCTGTTTTTGGGTTTGTCTCGTTGCAGGAGAAAAATGAATGTAAGTCTTCTGAAAGGGATTAAAACTATTCTTTTGTTTGTGATGATCAGAATCAAAAGTTTTAATCTAGTATTGAGAAAAGGATCATGTAATTCTTGATATAGACTAGAAATTGTGTTGAATTCCTATTACAACACAGAAATATCTGCTTGTAATATGAAAATAGTGTTATTTTATTATTTTTCCATATTGGCATATCCTTAGTAAAATTTCTTTTATAAATTGTGGAAACATGGATTTTAAAATATTACATCAATTGCTCTTATTCTTAATAGTTTAAATACATATTTACATGCACTAGAATCAATGAAACATTTTCAAAATACGTTTTATTAAATTGGATATCATTTAAAGCAAGCACTTCTTGAAACATTGTATTTTATATTTCTGTGACTAATAATTTCTAAAATAAGAGCAGTTTAAAGAAATGTTTGGTTAGTTTGTGTAAATAAGCAAAAAAAGATTTTGGTTTTATGGGAGATTAGGATACGTTAAAATGTTTTACTTTAAGGAGTTGTTAAAATTAGTGGAAAAAAGGAGAACTGAAATAAAAATTAATGTTAATGCTTTTATATTTTCATATAAATTTTTAAGCTAGATGACAATTTTATTTTATAAAAATATTTTATTTGAAGAATATAGCATAATTTCCATTGTTATTTTTGCTTTATAATATACAAAGCTCATCCAGAAAGTAATGGGTATTAAAAAAGATAAGCAATTTATTTTCATTGGTATTTTATTACAGAAAAATCTACACATCTTAAACTACTTTTCAACATATTCACCATGCAAATTAAGTTCATGCATCATATCTTAGCATCTACATATCTGCAGGCATGGATCTGGGGGGTTTGCCTTGGGTGCTCAGCATCCTCCCGCTTCATCATGATTAACAAAGATTGGACAGAAAGTCTAGGATTTTCCATTTAGAAGTTGAATAGTGCTCTGTATCCGGTCTCTTGTTCCCTCTTTTCTTTCGCTTTCTAGTCGCCAAGCTTAATGTCACTAAAGAAAAATCCCTTTTATTTCAGACCAAGCATTTAAAAGCATACTGGTTATAGATAAAATAAGTACTTTAAATAAATAAGTAATAAATAAATTAAGAAAATAAAAACTTTAAAGAAAGAAAATGAGTACTTTAAATAAATAAAAAATAAGTTGGGGTATTTAATTTTGAGACTTGCTACTTATTATCTAAATATTACACAAAAAAGTGAAAGAAACACAGTAAAATACACTACCCTCCAAAAGTTAAGGAACAACATGTTTTTGGTGTCTAATTTGAGAATGAAGCAACATAGAAACAAGAAACTTAGCAGACGTGTTCACTAAACGGTTCTTTAATGAATGTGACGTAGAATGCTTCTTAAGATCAACACAAACATGAATTACAACAAAAAAACTGCACTCTTGGCAGAAAAATCGAGTCTTGGAGAAACAATATATCACAATTTTTTGAGGAAAATTGTGATGGTCATATTACAAAAATGGGTTCAAATAAGGAATGTGTTCACTTCTAGCTGCCATACATTAGTGGCAGCGACGTTCCATGTTTTCAATTAAGATGTCGGTCAGTGAAATGGGAAGTAACAACCAGACACAGAGTAATCCTTGTTTAAGCTCACCTAACATCTTGGAGGAGGATTTAAGGCAGCAACCTGTTACCCAAGGTAGTCCCAAAGATGCTCTATTGCAGTGGTGCTCAACCATTTGACTAATGCATACCAGCTAAACAAAAATTGAAAACCTTTAGTACCACCACCACCACCACTCTTGAACAAAGCTCATATCACATAAATTTATGAGTGTTAGAGAAAAAAACTCAATCAGGATGTTGGGGTTTTAAGTTTTGAATTTAATAGTTAAAATACTTTGCTTCTTTGCGTACCATCTATTTTTCTCTTGCATATCACCAGTAGTACGCGTACCACCAGTTGAGAACCCCTGCTCTATTGGATTCAGGTTTAGGGACTGAGCTGGCCATTTCACCTGCTCTATACCGTGACCCTCAAGATATCCTTCATCAACCCAAGCTCGATGCGGTCGCGCATTGTTGTCCATCAGAAAAAATCCAGGACCAGTAGCAGCGGCATATGGGTAGATATATTCATCAAGGATCTTCTCTCAGTATCTCACACTGGTTAGTGTTCCTTCATGGAACACATACAGGTCAGTGTGGTTACTGAGAGAGATCCCAGCTCAAACCATTATTCCACCACATCTGTAAATGTGTTGTTTCACAATGTCGGATTGCTTGTATCTGGTGCACTGTTCCCTCCAGATCAGCTGACACCTAAATTACTCTCTCTTGTGAACCTGGACTCTTCTATGAAGAGAACAGAAGCCCATTGTTGAGTGGTCTAGAAATGGGAAACTCTGTGTCGTCGGGGCAAGGGGACACAAACAACTGGTCATCTAACATACAGGCCGGTATTATACAGGTGTCTGTGCACTGTAGTAGCTGAAATTCTTGTTCCTGTGACCACTAAATGATCTGCCATGAGCTCAGGCACAGTAATGTCGCTCCTCCTTTGGGTCGAAAGAGGTAAATAATGGACTTCCACAGGTGTTGTAATTCTTGGTCTGCTTGGAATATGTCTTCTAGACACAGAATCCTCAGATTCAAACTGATTTCATAGTCGATGGACTACACTGGGAGAGATATTAAGACATCTAGGAGCATCAGCTTGTGACATCCCCATTTCCATCCTCAATTGCCTTCTACCTCAACAAATCGGGCTTACGACTTCTTCTTGATATTGTCAATGCAGTTGCTAGTAACAATTAAATATCAACATTCGTGAACAAAAAAAACAAAAAAAAAAAAAAAAAAAAAAATTGCGTTCCTCCAAATTCTATATAAGTATTCATTTTTATAAAATAAAAGTGCTAACTATTGTTTTTCCATATATTTTCTTAAACTTTGTTACTGTCATGCTTATAAATTGTCCATTTAAATGTTACTGACATTTTTGTAATGATGAGCTTTGAAAAGCACACTCTTCCTTAGCTTTTGGAAGGCAGTGTAATTTTGAGTGATAACGCTTAGAAATTGTGTATTTAAATGTTTCTGACATTTTTGTAATGATGAGCTTTGAAAAACATGCTGTTTCTTAACTTTTGGAGGGCAGTGTAATTTTGAGTGATTATTTTTTACATTAATTTTGAATTTCAGTTAAATCAATGAATTTTTTAAAAAAAAAAATGATGTAGAGAGCATGTCAACTTTAATGCTCTCAATGCAATGAATTAATTTTCTTAGTAATCTAGCAATTTAAAATCTTGTTATTTGAAATGATTTAATGCGACAGTTGTTAAATACACAGCTACTTCATTCACTGCGAAATATTTAATTTAATTTATTTTTTGTGCGTCTGTGCTTGGGACAAATAGATAATTATAGATTAAATATAAGTATAAAACAACAGAAGTTAATAGAATGCAAAATGTACATAGCCTATTAGTCGGCAGAATGTATAAGATTGCTCAACAGTGTTACTTCGACATAGGTAAGAATATCAGTGAACGAGCTGAACAAGGTTTTACAGTTTTTCTTATGTATAAGGTAAATACAAACCAATTTCCCTTAAGAAGTGCTCCACAAATGGGATGGCATCCCTTCCCATAGACAGATAACCTTTGTATGCTAGCTGTATTGATTTAAACAAACAGTAGCAAGCATATATGAAATACTAGTTTTAATGTAAAAACTTGATGTAATAAGATAATATACATCATTGACATCAAGCTGAAACCACAAATCAACAACATCCCTTTTTGAGGGAAATAACTTTATTGGCATGAACTTTATTTTGCAAAAATCGATGTTCTACACTATAGTTCTAATATGTTTATCAAAAACAATTGCATTTTACTTTTTGATCATAATGCAAAGCAGAAAAACAGCAGAAAAAAATTCGATATTAATATTAAGGGGTATCACCATTGCCCTCGTATCGGAATGCAAAAAGTATTGTTCATTTTTTTCCTGGTTCATTTACATCACATAATAGTTTGGATCCACGGCCTAAAATTTAAAAATGATAGTTATTCATTTTAAATTCTATAGTGTAGAACATAGATTTCTGCAATGTTCTTAAAACTGCTTTTTTTTTTTTTTTTTTAGTTTTAAAAGCTTTTGTTCCTTTTTAAGGAAAAAAGTAAACATCTAAAAATAACACAAAACTTAGGCACATACTCTTTGCACTCTTCTTCTGTTTAAGAACAAAGTCATGTCAACAAATAGAACCGAGGCATTTTGCTAAATTGCGGGAATCACTATTAAGAGGTCCAGTCAGCCCTTAGGGATAAACTATGAGGGGTTCGGCCAATTTGACCATGAGAAAGTGAAAAGTAATGAATTAGATTTAACGGTCTTTGAAAGTTACTATATTTTCCTGTAGGTTTTGTTGTGCTACTAGAAATAATGCTTTAATTTGTGTTAAGTTAATATAAATTGCTCAATATGGAATGCCCTAAAAAAAAGGATAAATTAGAAAAAAATGCAAAAAGGTGTAAAAAAAATTGAGTTCCTTTTCTCCAAAAACTAGTACATTTTCTAACGAAGTGAACTCTATTGGAAGCATTTCTGTTTTGTGAGCAATCTTTCCTCCTTATTTGAAAATTCTGGCTATTTAATAAATAAAGTAACTTTTTGTGCCATTCAAAATTCATGCAGTGTATGCAACTATGTATTTAAATGTATCTATCTAAACTGAAAAAAAAAATTTTAAGGGCTAAATTTGTTCAATTATTAATCTCTTATGCTCTATTTAAAATTCTAAGAAATGTGAGAATCATTGAGTTAGTGATGGGGAAAAAAAGTATAAAGCCCTCTTTCTCATTGAAGAATCAGCTGTTAACAAGTTAATATGTGCCACTTCTGTCGATTTAAGACCAACTCAACTATGTAATTTGACTTATGAAAAAGTTTAAATGTGATTGAGCATATCTAAAGCGTTATAAAAGCTTTCACAAAGTCCTAATCCATAAACTAA